AACCATATCCTAAATAACATAATGACTAATTAATATCCATTTAAAAAATTAAAATCTGTCGAATACAAGTCTCACAATTTTGTCTACCTTATTGGAATTTTCGTCACTTGAGTGCATAGCAAAAATTTGACAAAATCTGAAACATTGACATTTGTTTGCGCGTGCGGAAAAGTACCGGCGTGGCAGGTCGGCAATCCTAATTGAAAATTAACTGTTGGAATAATCGATTACTGGAATATATAAAATAAGGAAACGCCCGTCGACAATGATGAGCACAATATAATAATAATTAATAAATATCGTCCGACATACCTGTTTCGGTACGTTATTATTCTATATCTGAGCCCATGGTAGTGCGCCGACCAAGTTCCAGTAATGTCAGTGTATCTTTAAAAGAACCAATTAGCCCGGTTATCTAACCCATATATCTATGTTTCCTCTTAAGATAAACTTTTGAAATTTATAACACAGATTAATTTCGAGTAGCTTAGGACGTTGTACAAAAATGAACCCTTAATATTGTACCATTTCGAAATGGGAGGATTTAAAAATTTGCAATTTTGTTACTGACTCACTCACTCACTAATTATCAAAATTATAAGAAACTTCCGGTATAGGAAGAAACGTGAAATTTGGCACAAAGGTAGGTTTTACAGTGTAACTAAAGGAAAAAATCTAAAAATTGAATTTTTTTCAAAATTAATTATAACATAAATTAAATTCAAAACCCGCTTTAAAGAGTGTATTTCTAAACGTATGAAGTGGCGCACTTAGCACGAATGAACGTTTTCTTCAAACAGCGTTACGATATGGTAATAAACAGGGTTCGTAAGTTCATGCCCTAAAAAATGCCTAAATAAGCATGCATTTATGCACTTAAAATTGGCAAAATATGCCTTAAAAAGTTAAAAATATGCATTTATATGCACTAAATATCTAAAATTATGCACTTAAAAAATGCTTAAATAAATCATAAATAATTTTTGAAATTACATAAATTATCTATTCAATTTTTTTATTGCTATATTTTATTTTTTTATCTCATAATTAAAAAAAAATAGATTTTAAATACTATTTAAAACTATTCTTGAGCCTTCATGAACTATGTATAATGTACGTCTTTGTCAGTCATTAATTTTAAATCTTAAACTTTTGGAACAAATTTATTCATTAAATGTCCGAATATCAAGAATATAAAAAAAAGAAAAGATAGTACAATTTCTATTTTTAATTTTATATATATTTTCCATTTAGATTTTTGATAGATTCTAATAGAATGTTGTATAATATGCCCGATAAAATAGAAATATGCATAAATATGTCAAATAAACAAAAACATGGCAAATATGCAAAAACATGTAAAATAAGATTTCACATATTTAACCGTGGTACCTTGAAATGGATTTCTGTGTCATCTAGCATTAAATACAAATTTTCAAGATTGATATGCAAATGCATGTACTTACGAGTCCTGGTAATAAGAAATTGTTTGTATTTGACTTATATATATATTTATAAAACATAATAATGTTTTCGTAAATTTATTTTATTGAAATACAAAATATAATATAATTATTTAAATACAGAATATTTTTATAATATTCGTCTGTATATGGATGATAATTTTACGTGATAACGTCATAAGAAAACATTGATCAATGTATGACATAGAACGGATTCCGACCAAGTTCGAAATCATCAGCCGAGCTTATGTACACCAACATCAATTCCCCACTTGTTTAGCTTATGTTATTACCATCCATAAGAGTCAGGGATTAAGTTTGCCAAATGTTTTGTTAGATGTTGGCAACTCAACATTCTCGTGTGGTCAAGCATACGTGACCCTTTCCAGGGTGACGAGTCTCCTGGGAGTTCACTTAATTAATTTTGATCCCTGTCAGGTGAAAGCCAAGGATAGTGCCATTGTTGAATACAACCGTCTAAGAACTTTGTATAGGCCAGACTTAACAGACATTCTATCTAAAAAGTATCGACGACGAAAAATAAAAGACCGTACTTGGCCATTATTGCCTGGTATTGACAACACCTCAAGAGTCCAATTTTTCAGCTCTTCAACAGAAACCCAAATGGTCTTACAAGAGAAAATCTAATACGTATAAAAAAAAAAAAAAAAAATAATAATAACACATCATCCACGATACTGAAGCCCGCTAAATAAAATTATATCCCCAAAAAAACCTAACGGTGAAAAAAGTCCAAGTTCCAAACTCTCTCCCAAAAAAGTCGGCCTATCAACGTATTGAAATCTACATTGTGGCTAAGTCTAGTATTTTTTAATTCATAACCTCACTGCACTCCTACATTAAAAAGCAACACTCCTCTTTTATTTGTGTTGATTAACACTTAGCCAGTTTCTAAATGTGGCATAATACATCAGTATCGAATGTAGATACTCATTTATGATTTACGTGAGTGATGGGGAGAAGAGAACTCAGAAAAAAAAGGTTTAGATTTTTTCTCAAAAAAGACAGCGAATCATAGTAGATAGTAGTATTTACATCGCGGCCAAGTCTAGGTTATACTTCATTCAGAAACTAGCCAAGTGTTAAACAATACAATTAGAAGAAGAGTGTTGCTCTTTAATGTAGGAATGCAGTGAGATTATGAATTAAAAAATACTAGACTTAGCCACAATGTAGATTTCAATACTTTGATAGGCCGACTTTTTCGGGAGGGAGTTTGGAGCTTGGCCATTTTTCACCGTTAGGTTTTTTTGGGAATTTCTTTAATATACTTAGATGAAAAAATTATTGATTTTTAAATAATGTATGTAAACTAATTATCATGATAGGCCATAGTTCCGGGAATACATAAGGCGGCAACTCACGCGGTGAGCTCTGCACGATCCGGTCTTTTTCGGTCTTTGCGTATTGTAATTTTATGTGGTTCGGTCCCTTCTCTAAAAAAAAAAATTGTTTTGGTTTGGTCCGTCTTCAATTCAAATTTGGTCTCGTTCGGTCCGGTCCCGTGATCTTAACTTTATATAATTTTATATATTTATATGACGTAGTAAAATAAAAAATAATTTCATAATATTATATTATTTTAATTTAGATTATAATGTTTTGGGATACAAAAATAGCTCATCACATTTTTATAATAATTATTATAGTCTTGTTTTTGACATAATATTCACCCATTATACAGATCTATAAATATAACGCAGGGACACGAGATAATGAATTTACCTGCATTGTGTTTTCAGTATTATTTCCAAATGTATACAAATAAGAAAAAAAAAACCAAGCAATTATCACAGTAATGATTAATATTTTAGACATTTATATATACCAATTCCGTGGAAATGATAACGACGAAATAATATGAGATAACTATGTCTATATCTCTAAAAATTTTAAATTATACTATTATTAGGTTAGGTTAGGTTAGGTTAGGTTATGTTATTATTATTAGGTACGTGTTATAAAAGTAGTAAGGAATAATAGTTAGTGGCGCAACCGGTGGGGGGGGACCCCAGAGTTTCAATTTTATTTTATCGGGCTGGTCCCGTTCAGTCCTGGTTTTTGTTAAAATGTATCAATCCGGTCCGGTTTAAAAGAAAACGGACCGTGCTGAGCTCTTGCGGCGAATCGTCAGTGCTCGGTGACAAGATAACAAATTTTATAAATTACACACACTAACATTCATTTACTTCTCACACAGCAAGACAGTTCAAATATAAATCCTATATGAAATGCCTAAGTATTACTTCTTAAAACATGTCACGCTCCAGCCACCTTAAAATATTGGACGAATAGGTCAAATATCGAATAACTACAGAGTATTTGGTCCATCCTTACTTTTAATACTTCTTGCTATATTTCTTTGTTTGGCGATCACTAAATACATTAAATCTAACTAGTTGGAGTATTGGTTCCCAAATTGTGCTCCGTGAAGCCTTAGGGCCCCGTAGTTGTTTCTCAAGGGCTTTAACCATAAAAAATGTAATAACGTAACAAATATTGATTGTTAGTTAAAACAACGAGTATATATTTGTACAAGTCTCCGTCAACTCAAATATAATTCACCAATACGTATACAAACAATATTAAAATCCCGGTAAGAAAATATAATTTTTTAATTTTAGATAATACGTATTTCCATTCCAGTTTATTTCCTGGCCAGATATATTATATTAAATGTACACTAACTCGTTTTGAGTTTCCACCTGTATAAATACAAATAATGTGTAGTATGTTTTGTAGAACACAGGTAAATAAAACTTAATACTATATATTTCTTGGGACTCCAATAGAAAATACTGTTTAAAAAAAGGCTCTGCTGCTTAAAATGTTTGGGAATCTCTGACTTGGTGTGTACATGTATATACATGTGTTACACTGTTAGTACTACCAATACAATAATGGTAGTATGAATTACCATAAATAGACGTGCGATTGTGTTATTTTATATATTTATTTCAATCTCATTCAATATTTAACTATATGCATAATAACACAATCACACACGTATTTATGGTAGTACATAACAGTATTACAATAAATTTGATGAGCAATAACACTACTAATTAATTTTATGGTAGACGCATTTATGACCTGATGAATAACATGAAAATAACTATTTTAATGATAATGTGAAGTTAATCACTAGAAAATATTGATTGTTTCTAAAATAATTTTAGTATCATAATTATAGCTTATAATTTGATTTATATTTAAACGTATATCTGTATTTCTATTACCTATTAGGTAAAGTTAAATTGTGAATAAGTAGGTTACACAATCGTTTCTTTTTAAAAATAAATTTCATATATCAAAACATGTACTATATCTAAAAAAAAGTACAATTATAAGTATGAACAATTAAAATTCTTAATTGAACTAAGATTCTTTAACGTCTTCGATCTATATTACATAACAAAAATAATTAAGTCATTTTAACAAATTTATTTTAAGTTACTAAATATTGTGTACATTTTTTTATTCACATAATATTAACAATAAATCAATAACAGTTAATTGATAGAAAAACCAAAGTGTTTATTTTATATATATTTTCTTATTAAATTCCATTTTAATTATTTAAACGGCAACCAACTTTGGACAGCTCCAAACACATTGTTTCCCGTTCCCGAATCCGAATTCGAATCCAAATAATTCGAACCTACATTTTTAAGTGGTAAAAATGAATTAGTATTCAATTTATAAGTATAATTGTTTTATTTTTGTTACATAATTATATCGAGTGTTGAAGCTACAGATAAAGACATATATAGCTTCTTATGCATAACTAGTAAGTATGTGACTAATATTTATTTTTTGTATATTAATAAATAAATCCGTACACTGTTTACACATTTTTTTATTTTACAAATTTTACTGTATCCTATTGTATATTGGGTACCTATATCTTTGCATACAATTATTTATTAGGCCCTTAAAGAATATCACCGATTATTATTATTGATTATTCTTTATATTTAAGGGTTAACAATATTAGAGTGATGATATAAACTATAAAACATGATAGATTTTAATTTTTAATTTTTGGTAAAAAAAACAAAATTATTAACTATTAAAATTAAAATAACAAGCAAATTAATGATATAACATAAATTATAATTTATATGTGTTAATTTGTAAATGATTTTGAGTTATAAGCATTTAAACGATTTTTAATCAATAGTTAATACACTAGAATAATTAATTCAATTAATATAAAAAAGTAAGATAATTTATTTAATCTCATATTGTAGACACACTATACATATTTAATTTAAAATCTGCCAATGTGCCTAATTATAGGTAGTTGATTTTATCGACAATAACAGGTGATAAAAATTATCCCATATATGTCTTTAACTAATATTTATAAAATAATTTATTGTTATCCAAATAATAAGTAATATTTATGTATTTTTGTTTTTACCTATTTTAATCAATGTTGTTTTTGTTATATATACATAACCTATTTGCGTCTCATAGCGACGTACGCATGTGAGATGTGGGCAAGCACAAAGGGTGATGAGGGAAAGCTAGTCACCTTCGAAAGGAAAATATTAAGAAAAATCTATGGTCCCGTAATAAGTGTAGACTTGGGAGTTTTCGAAAGAAGAAAAATGAAGATTTACAAAGACTTTATAATAAACCGAACAATTGCAATTTTTCTTAGTAGAAAAAGACTAGAATAGGTTGGGCATTTGTGGCGTGCATAAGGAAGTCTTATAAGAAAAGTTCTCGGTGGAAATTCGAGTGGAAAAAGACCCATAGGGAGACCACATTATAGATGGTTCGATACGGTGAAGAGAGACTTAACATGAGTGGATCCTACCTATAGCATCAATTTGGCAGTAGATATAATGCAATGGAGAGGAATTATAAAGCGGCATTAGACTTAAATGGTCTGCTTCAAGCCTAAGAAGAAGAAGATATTTTTGTCATATATTGTATAAGTTACAAGAATATAAGCTGACTTATATAATTGAATTTATAATATATATTATTCCAATTTAAAAAAAAAAAACCAGTGACACTATTGACACTTCTTATTTATTATTTTTAGTTACAAAAAAAAAAAAAAAATCAAAATATTATCAGTTATAATTTTAAATTGTTTAAACTGCTAATAAAAAATGTATAAATTGTATAATATGTAATAATAATACATATAAAAACCACTACATAACACCTTATTATATGTCCTTGCAATTATTGGAATTTTTAATATCAATCATCATATTTCATACTATAAAAATAAATCAAACATTTTTAATCCGTCTATATTCTATACATATTTACTACAAATATGGATTAGTACGTAGGTACTAAAAAATAAATATGGGGTTCTTTTTATTTAATAAATATACTTATATTTGTTTTTATTTGTACATATTTATACCTCTATAATATACTAGTATTAAGTATAAATATATTACACAAATGATAAATTTCTTTGTTTTTAAACAATTTAGTTTATATTCATAAGAAAATGTAAAATACATTTAACGTCAAAAAAAGATAAAACCATGTGCTACTAATATCGAAGATTGTATTGTATAAGTATGTATTATTTAGTCGCTAGATGAAGAAGAGTGCTGTCTCTTACTTTTGCAGTTGTACATCTTCTGTATCTTTTGAATATCTTTTCTACTCAAACCTTCCCTCTGGCCCATTGAAACTCCTTGTGACTAAATAATACAAGAAACAAAAATATAAGAAAATAATGTAAATTCATTATTACATATTATATGTATCTATATACTCTTAATATGTTTTATACTATAAAAATAATAAACTCTCAATAATATAACAGTTAAGGAGAGTTGATATTATATATATCATCAAAAATATATATCAAGATAATTTATTTAATAAAAAATGGAATTATACCATAAAATAGGTTTATTAACTATGAAATATTGAGAGTTTATATATATTCTAATCAGACAATTATTTAAAAAATACCTTGGGATCGATTGTAGGTTGACCATTTTTAGAAAAAGCGTTTGCCGAATAATGCATAACGCTACGGTAATCATATCCTATACCTTGATTGTCAATCAATGAACTTTGAGCTTTTTCAAAATTATTTTCTCTTCCTGAAAATGTATGAATATTTAAAATAATTAAATTCTATGAAATAAAAAACCAACTAATTCTTATAATCTAACCTGACTGAATGTTGCCGTAGTTGACTGTCACGTACTTATCTCTGTCTGGTCTATTTTGTTCATGCATGAACCCAGCAGCATGAAGCATTTCGTGTATTACCGTTCCTTTTTTAGACAAACATCCTGGACTTTGTAAATTTACCTATATACATTTTGCGCGGATGCAATATTAATAATAATAAATATATATTTTTAGTCAATTTATACTTCTTGTCTTCCGCCAATTTTACCCACTGATGACCAACATCCTGTGTTACCATTAGTAAAATAAATGTAATCGGTGTCAGAAGATGTTCTCGGGGTGAACTTTAGGCATGTAAGCTTTTTGTAATCATCAATTGCACTCAATATCATTTGTCTATCATTGGCTCCTATAAATACAAGAAATCATACAGACCCATATTTTGTCATTTAAATCGTTTAAAATTTAAATATAAAAAGTTTACATTATAATTCACTATCGTGTGATACAGTATAATTTAGAAGTAAATATAAAAATGTTAAGGATCAGTTCCCATTAAAAAGTGTAATAATTTATAACACATTTCTTTGATATTTTTTCCTCGGACATTATAGGGTTTCAAACATCAATTAGAGCAAGAGAAATTCAAAAAAGTATTTGTATTTGTGTACACATAATTCCATATAAACAAATTTTAAAAAATTAATATATTTCCTATATTTTATGGGTTATTTACTTTACCGAATTTTAAAATAATAATGTAGATAATTCTTAGAGTATTTAAGCTTGATTTCGTGGTACCTATGCATCGGCATAATTTAAAATTGATATCGTGTGTTATAGGTACACAAATTATAAAATAATATAATAAAAATATATTGTCAATCACAATTTTTTTCGAAATAAATGTATACCTATTAACTATTATAAATATTATAAAGGGGGCAAAATAATAATATATTTCTCATTTAATTTAAATTCTATTCATCGTCAATAGTCATATAATATAAATATAAAATATATTTTTTATACTACTATAATACTATTAAGTTATTAATTTTAATTTACCAAAATACGGGCTTATTTCATAAGGAATGACGCCTTTGGGCCATCTGGAGGATGTGGCTTTCAATCCATTTCTTGAATTTCCTATAGGATGCAATATGTCACCCTCAGCATACTCGCCCATTTCTTCCGGATTTAATTGACTGGTTTCTTTCCATTTCGACACGGCTTCGCCCGACTTGATGTCCGGAGTGCCGAAAATTGCAGTTCCTAAATGAACTAAGCCATTGAACAGGTCCGATTCGCCACCGTTGTCCTGCACTTCATTTTCTTCCTCTTCCGCTCTTAAATTCACGGGCTGCGTCATCACCAATGGCAAACATATCGTTACAAACCACAAAAACAATTTCATGTTCATTTTTCGAGCCGACGAACAAATGTAAATGTTTATCTTGTTTTGCAACGACTTTAACACTACGACGTTTGATGCTTGAGCTTGATGTTTTTATACTGTATATAGGACAGAGTTAATTAGCTAAGATAATATTCAATGGGTCCGATTAAGGTAACAAGCCACCGTGTACAATGTTTTCTATTATGTATACTTAAAATTCGTACGGAAATTGAGGTGATAACGTAACAAGACAACACGATACTTTTCAAAGAAACGGACTACACCACTTAGTAAATCGTTTAGACCGTTCTGAGGTTTAAAATAAAGATCCCTTTATTTAGATAAAAATGCGTTTAATTAGGACGTTTTCGTGTAAAATGGTGTTACAATACAAGTGCATAATTATGTACTTATATAATAGGAACCAACACAACACAAAGAGTTCTTGGAATATAACACTTGGTGTTATAAATTGGGTAAGTCTATCTGATGACCATATAGAAAACAAAACAAATCAAACCATAAAATGTGAATAGTAATTACTGAATTAAAAATGTATTCACATACAAATTAGTTATAAAAGTATTTATTTATTTATTTTTTTTTAATTAAAAATACTTAGATTTACATTGAATTTGATATCATTAAATATTATCAGTTTTTAGATCATTTTTAATTTCATTAGACTTCTGTAATTTAACTTTAGTGAATTTTAAATTATTCTGAAGATAAACTCAATATTAACAATGTATATCTGCGTATTTAGAATTATTAAAATCTATAAAATTCATGAATTATATTTATGATTATTACAATTTGTTTACAGTATTGAACATTTTTTCTTACCCGAGATTGTAGTTAATTATCTTGATTTTTGTTTTTATATCTAGATAGTTATTAATTATTCGTTAAGCATGTGGATAAAGTTTAAAATATGAATAACGAATAGTGGCGTTTAAATACAGGTGTACATAAGGAAGTTGAATGATGAGCTTTGGAGATGGTCGGTGGTCTTCATCATCAGCCACGTTTTTGTCAATTTCACTTGGTACTGACTTTTAAAAAGCGATTAGTTTATTGACTAGGCTTTTTTGTTTTTGCCTTATAACGGTTATTACTTTATTTATAGCTTCTGTCTTCTGCACCACTCATTAAAATATTTATTTTGTTTCATTGTACAAGAAATTAATTCATGAAAAACCGAAAGATGGATAGGTGAACTTTACAAAACATATTTATGTGTACCCAGCATTTGTATATGATCTTAATTTTGAAAGACCAAAGTAGAATTAATAAATGTTATAAATTGTATCAAGTTACCTACTATTTTGAATAAAGTATAACTTGAATTATACTATCATCCCATCGAATATTTAATGAATATTATTAATTACCAATCGACTGCAGATCGCAATTGTCTTCAACACACATGTTTACATTTTATAGATAAAGCAAACTTTAGGATGACCATCACTTTGACCAGTTAAATATCTACCACGATGGCATAATAATTATCATAGTCTTGTTATAAACAGGACCGTAATACATTTTAACTTGTATATCCTATTGCAATTGGACCGAAAGTGGACATACACATATATTACTACAGTAGTTAATCCTTTTTTTCAGATCTAGTCCCGTTTTTTTTATTTTACTGTAAGATTGTGTAAATAGTTATAAGGTTTAATTATCTTTTAATATGTACAGAGCTCAATATTATAATATATTTGACACCTTGAGCCTCGACTCTAAATTATAGATATTGTCCTGTCAATGGATAATATTTCAAATTTATTTAAACGTTTTTTACATTGACATATTTTATAATTAAGAGTATTTGACTATTTTACACCAGTTGCATAAATAATAAATATAAATAGTAGTTCTGTCATGGATAATATGATATTAGGTGTAAAATCCATACTAATAAATACATATATGTACTATATATGTACCTATATATAGGTATATCAGACAAACATTACTTTTCCATCTGCTAATTTTATTTCTATTAGAAACTCACGGTCTACATAAATTAATTTAATTAATAATAAGTATAAAGAGAATAAGACACAAATCATAAATAATATTTAAGAGGTTATAAAATTAAAATTTACTTTGCAAAACCTTTCTTATTTTTTGATTTAAAGATATAATATATATTTTAAACGCCCTAAATAGTAATATATAGGGAACGGATTTATAGGCAAATGCATATATGTATTTACAATATTTCTAGTAAATTCTTACCGGGGGGTAAAACTTTCCTACGATAATATTACCGGGAGTAACGATAAGTTAGGATAATTTTACCGGGGGTAAAATATGGCTAGGAAAATCTTACTCGCCCTGGTAATATTTTCCAGGGGTATGATTTGCCTGTTACTCCGATATTATAGCCAAAAATAAAATTATATACTAGTATGCAATAAACGAGTATATATACAAATTATATTAATATAGATATACTCAAATGATAGAGTTGAACACTTGAATTTGGCGGAATTACGAAACCAATCAGTCAGTGCAAGCATTCGTGCATATATTTTTGCGTATAAAATTGTCGCAGTTTTTGAGTCTTAGGATTTTTTTTTATTATTTGTTTACAGATATACGTAAACAAGAATAAAGATATTTTTAAAATCAATGGTTCAATTTTGTATTACAATATTTGTGAAATTTTTACATAATTAAAAAAAAATATATTTTTGATTTTATTTTAAGTGCATATTTTATACCATATTACAGCATTTTTGGAAAGATATTTTGATGATCTTTGGTGCTTATAAATCCGTTCCCTTATAATAATACTAATAATACTCCTCTTAAAACGGATTTATAAGATTGTACTCGATTAAATTGTTTAAAATGAGTAATGAGAAATTAAATTTCTTATAAATTTATAAATTTTTGATGTAACAAATGTAGTTCAAATTATTTTTCTGTTAAAAAAATATAAAATAATTTTTAAAAACATTGACAAGCGTTTATAAATGGGCTTGCCATTATTTCCGATTTATACGGAACAATCCCGGTATCCTGGCCGATCATTCAGTTTGTACCGGTTAATGGAAACTGAGAGAAAATAACATTTAATATTGTAGTATTTAATAATTAAACATAGAATAATATTGTATATTATATGATTATACTATGGTTATCTAATTAGTATGGTTACATACAATAATAACATATTTTTGCATTTGCTAATAAATATTTAAATTACAAAATTATATATGTACTTATTTTTGTTTCCCTATGAACTTCACATAAAAAAAGAAAGGTTATTCAACTTGATGTTTTGGTTTAGAGATTTCAAATTTCTGCAACCATACTAATCATCGATAAAATGTATTAACATTTTCTTATCAAATTTTGAATGATTTTCTTATCAGTTATTACTGTATCGTCGAATACAGTTTGAACTCTTCAATGTCAAATTTTTAATTTAGTCAATACTTTGTTAATTTTGGCAATAAAATCCTACTAACTGTATGTACATCCAAGATTCAAATTTTGTTAAATATCCGTTGAATCAAAAAATTTAATTTAGTTCGAAATGGCTAGTTCATTATTTCGTTCTGCCCTTAAAGGAGGATTACCTAAACATTATTTGAGAAAAACATTACGTACTTCGTTCGATTTGGAAAGGATATTATGTATTCACACATCTTCATTTTTAAACGGTAATACAGTTTTATCTTTTGCTTTGTAAAGCACCTGTAAATATAAAGAAAATTTGTTTTATGATTTCAGTAAAAGGTCAAAGCATAAATATGCCATCTCTATCACCAACTATGACTGAAGGCAATATAGTAAAATGGTTAAAAAAAGAAGGTGACACTATAACACCAGGTGATGTACTTTGTGAAATTCAAACAGATAAAGCTGTTATGGCTTTTGAAACAGAAGAAGAAGGAATATTAGCTAAAATATTGGTATGATAAATATTGCTTAGTAGTTTAATAAAAATTATTTTGATTAATTGAAGGGTTTTATAATTTTTACTTTTCTACAGGTTCCCGAGGATGCCAAAGAAATAAAAGTAGGTTCTTTAATTGCACTTATGGTTGCTGAAGGAGAAGATTGGAAAAGTGTTGAAGTTCCAGCAGCTGGAGATACTGTACCTGCTTCAAATGTTAAAGAAGAAACTAAAGAATCAGAACAGCCTACTGGAGGAAATAGTAATGATATATATATTTATAATTTTCAATTATTTTATTAATTATAACTATTAAGCACCAGGAATAGAACTCCACATGCCATCATTATCACCAACCATGTCTGAAGGTACAATTATAAAATGGCATAAGCAACCTGGAGATAAAATTTCTCCAGGAGATGTTTTATGTGACATTCAAACAGATAAAGCAGTTATGTCTTTTGAAACTGAAGAAGAAGGAATTTTAGCAAAAATCTTGGTATTTTAATATTTATATTTTTATGAAAATATATTTATATATTTATGAAACAATATTTTTAACTACCAATTGTATTCAAGTTGGGTGATGATAGTAAAGAAGTCAAAGTTGGTGATTTGATTGCTCTAATGGTAGCTGAAGGCGAAGACTGGAATGATGTTCAAGTACCTGGGAAAAAAGTAGTCCAATCTCCAGTGACAAAAGTAGATGATGTTCAGAAACCTAAAGCTGAAGCTAAGACAACATCAGAATCTATAGATAGACACTCATAGTAAATATTGTAAACTTTTATCTCTTGAGGTGATTGTTTTTTTAAATTTTATTTTGCAGCGATGGATATAGTCCAGCTGTAAGGTCTCTTCTGGAATTATATGCTCTTGATGGTTCAAAGATTGAAGGAACTGGAAAACAAGGGAAACTTCTTAAGGGTGATGTTCTAAAATATGTTACCCAAAATAATCTAACTATCAAGCCCCCGAGAACAGGTTGGTTGTGTTATTTGATTAATGTGTATCATGTGTAGCATAAATTTCATCCTTTATAGTACCTTTACCTGGAGAATCAGTCACATCAAAATCAGTTACACAAATATCAGTGTCAAGACCTGAAAAAGGACTAGGTTATGTTGACATACCATTAACTGGCATGCGATTAACAATTGCTAAAAGATTAACTGAATCTAAAGTAAATAAAATTTAACTATGCAATTTGTATATAATTAATTTGTTTGTTTAATATATTCAGACGATGATTCCTCATGCCTATGGAACAATTGAAAGTAATATTGATGCATTATTAGGATTACGGAAACAGTTACAATCAGCTGGTGTTAAAGTTTCAGTTAATGATTTTATTATTAAAGCAGTTGCTATTGCACTTAAACAATGTCCACTGGTTAACTGTCATTATATTAAAGATCAAGTAATTATTTATTAATGTTTAAATTTTTAATTTTTTACAACTTTGTATTTTTTCTTCAGGTTGTCTTACAACAAACATCTGATATTTCTGTAGCAGTCGCTACTGATTCAGGTCTTATAACTCCAATTGTCACCAATGCTGATGGAAAAGAATTGGATGAAATTTCAGCAGAAATTAAAGAATTGGCAGGACGTGCCCGTATTGGTAAACTACAGCTTCATGAATTCCAGGGAGGCAGTTTTACGTAAGTTAATAATTTGTTGGGTCCTTCCTAAAAGCTTAAGACTTAGTAAATCTGCATTCTGTCGAACCCATTTTGTATTGTCATCTTTAATTTTAGAGTAAATTTACCAATTATCAAATTTAAAGGCAAGAATATTACCTTTAATATTTTATATAAAAATAACTTTTTTTAAAATTAAAAAAAATCTTAAAAAATTTAAGTCATCGCACAATGTTTTTCCATTTAAACTTAATAATTGATTAGATAACTCTATTATTTAAGTCAACTACATAAAATTAGCTTGACTGAATGCAGATTTAATATGTTGTAAGATTCTAAGAGAGAGACACCACATATAAATAAAACATTCTCATAATAGTTACTAAATTAAGATATGAATTTATTTTTATTAGGATATCCAACCTTGGAATGTTTGACATCACAGAATTTAGTGCTATTATAAATCCTCCACAATGTGGTATATTAGCAATTGGAAGTGGACGACCTATTATTGGTGAGTTTTTTCTTTTTATAAAAAATATATATATAAATTATTTCAAGTTAAATACTTTTTTAAAGTGATTACTCAAGTGTATTCATTTTTATCATTAAATTATTTACTATATTCAATCATAAAAAAAAAACCTTTAAATTTGATTTAAGAATATATATGCATTTTAATTTTAATGTTCTCATCATCAATACCAAACAATAACATCTTTTCTTGGTAATAATGATAACACTAGTTAAAACACCTGTATTTATGTAAATTATCATTATTTTAATAATGAATTCAGTTTCTTTCATATTAAGAACTTAACATGTATTTTATTTATGTTGTAGCATTAAATGGTAAACCACAGACATTTATGACAGCCACATTATCATATGATGCACGTGCAATTAGTGAGTCTGCTGCGTCTGATTTCTTAGAAACTTTCCAAGGTTTACTACAAGCTCCAGCATCACTTTTATTGTCGTCAGCTAACAAAAAACGTGTTTTAAATTAAATTTATATGTATACATAATATTTTTGTTAAGTTTTTAGCTTCTGCTTTCTCAATGATTTGTTATATTTAAAAAAGATCAATTAAATATGAATGAAACTACAAGTTATACCTTTCATTTTCAAGTATAAAAGATATTTGCATTATTATTTAGTGGTCTTACATTCAGATAAAATATGATAGTTACATTATTTGTATAATAATTATAAATAAACATACATTTTTGGACTTAAAAATATTATGCTGATGCAGGAGGAGGTGGTGGTGGAATACTTGGTTTCCAATTCATAGGCATCATATTATTTGGTTGCATGGGTGGTGGTGGTGGCATGGGAGGTCCACTGCTCATAGTCATTGGTGGTGGCGGTGGTGGCATCATATGACCTTGCATATGAGATGGTAAAGCAGGATGTGAAGGTGGTAAAGGAGGTGGCATCTGTGCTTGTTGTGATGGAGGAGGAGGAGGAGGAGGTGGTACAAAACCTCCATGAAATCCTGGTGGTGCAAAACTGTTGAAACTTGGAGGAGGTGGTGGTGGTGGTGGTTGGTATGTAGGAGGTTGAGGAGGCGCCTGTTGATTTTGCCAAGGCATAATGCGTGGTGGAGGAGCCATTTGATGTTGTGTCATCATAGTCATAGGCACTTGCATAGAAGGTTGCATAATAGGTGGCGGAGGGACTGGCATTTGATGCATCATTGGCATTTGTGTCGGAGGTGCGTCTGCAAACAATTGATGAGGACGATCTGCTTGACTAAGTGGATTTTGAGCAGCTAGTAATCTCTCAGCAGCAGATCCATGTCGCTCCCCTTTGACATCCTTTTTAAATGCATATGATATAGAAACAGCTCTGTTGCATAAATGTTGACCATTCATAGCTTCTATAGCAGCATCAGATGCTTCAAAACTAGCATAATTGATAAATGCAAATCCTTTTGAATTGCCCGTGTCAGGATCTCTCATTATCTAATATGAAAAAATTATGCAATTTTAAAAAAATAAAAAAATATAAGTGATTTAAATTTATAATCAAGTGTAGTTATTTAAAATAAGATCAATCCTCTAAAATTGCCGTGAAGATTACTTATGCTATTTTTCATATTACTTTTGACCAAGATAAATACATAAAAACTAGAGTGAAATCCTCCAATTTAAATCTATAATTAAGAATATGTGTAAATATACAGTAACTAGAAAATTATTAAATTTATAAAATTAAAATAAAATAAAATAATTAATATTTTCACAAAAATTAATATTTAAAATTTTTGTAAATCTGATAATATTTTAAGCCATATATAACCAACCATATAATACATATAATAATTAGGGCTCATAAATTCATTCATTAAAAAAAGCATTAATAAGCAAGCAATAATGGACTAACATTTGAAAAAAATATTTGTATCTCATTTAGCATTTTTTTTGATGTAGCATAAAAAACATGTAAATGCATGAACTTACAAGCCCTTATAATAATATTTAAAAAATAAGCTGAACAAAGGTCTCATATGTGAACTGGTAAACTAAACTGTTAATTTTTTTTTCTTTTATTTTACACACTAAAAAAAAATGAGTAAACTCAGATTTTCCAAACAATTTGAATAAAATAATAAAAAATTACATGAAACGTAACATAAAAGATTAACATATAAAATTAAATTATCATGGTCATTAAATTTAATAAGTTAATAAAAAATAGATAATTTAATTTTAAATAAGACAATAAGAATTTAAATAAGTCTCGTTTACATAGAAATTTAAGTATAAAGTAAACTGATTTTATTCCATAAAAAATTAATAAAATCTTTAATTTTTGGATTTTTAAAAAATGAGCATTCAAAGTGTCATGTAAAACTCTTGAGATTAGAACTCTCAATATTAAATTATTCAAATATACAGTTTTCCAAACTTTATAAACTCATCATAATTGAAAAACAAATAACTCTCCCTATTCATAAGTCTAATATTTAATTAAAATAATTACCTATATTACAAAAAGTTAGTTTATTGGGTGTATAATAATATAATATAATGTTCAGAAAATAATATCCAAATCTAATTACACTTAAAACAAATTATATTAAATTACTTATACTGATCTAAAATCTAAAACAACCTATAAAATCAAAACAAAATTTAATAGAAATATCTATAAAATTAAAGAGTATTACCTTTGGGGTTTGTAGAATAACACCAAAAGCAGAGAATGTGTCATATAATAATTTTTCATCTACTTCAGAATCCAAATTACCAATAAATACATTTGCACCAACATCCAAGTTCTTTTGATGAGCTGATGCCTGAAGTTCATGAAAAAAATGTGAATCATCAGTAAAGTTATTTGCAAAAAGGTTAAACTAAAAAATTATACCTTATTAACACGTATTGGTTTCCCATACAATTTAATCATGTTCATTATTTTAATAGCATAATCAGCATCGTCTTCAGCAAGAAATTCAACAAAACCATAACCTTGATGTGATTGGGTTACTCTATCTTTTGGCATGTGAACATTAACTAAAGAATAACAATAAATTAATTTAAATTAATATTAAGCTGGTATTGCTAATATTTATCTTACCAACTGGACCAGCTTGAACAAACAACTCCCACATAAGAGTATCAGACACTTTTTCATCCAGACCACCAACATAAATTGTAGCGTCTGAAATATTAATTGTATTATGTAGTAGACCATTAATTATAAGAATATGATAAAAATGTTTCAAATTATGCTTAATGATTGCATGAAATACTATTTTCCTACACATGGAATATATTACATTGTTATTAAATAATATTCATAATTAAAATATACTTAGATCAGAAAAATAAAATATTAACAGAGGTAGTACTATAACGTTAATATTATATTATGTTTTAGTACAAAGTATGCAATAATAAGCAAATAAAATGCGTTTGAAATAGTTCACTGAGCTAAACGGATATTTCTGAGACATGAGTGTCGCTATTTATGCTAACAAATTTTGTAGAATCCAGTATATGTGAAGAAATAATTTTTATTTTTTTTTTAATCGAGTACCTTGATTTCTTTCAGCTATGGGTCCTGCTGCCATGGTGCTGCTTCAGTGGTTGACGAAAATTAAACAAACGCAAAGGTGCCGGCTGCCGGCAAAATATGATAACTTTATAAAAATTATAGTTCAATTATCTTTTTGCATTGTAGGTGAGTACCGTAACTCGTAAGCGACATGGAAAACAAACCAACGCGGTTGATAATTGATGATAACACGAAAATTAGATACTGGCACAGTGCAACCATAATGAAATAAGATTTTAAACGTACAAATACAGTTGAAATGTAATTCAAAATAAGCTTATGTGTTGGTGATGGTAAACTACTATTTTTTTTTTTATAACATCTGATAATGCTATTGCTATTTTAAAATAGCAGTGATAAAAAGCAGCTATTGCTATTTTGTAATAATAACAAAAATTAAGACCATTTAAGGGCGTATTTTAGAGAGATGATGGGACAATGTCCTCCCCCTAAATCTATATTTTGTATGCAAACATTCTAAAAAATCATTAATCCTATTTTATCATTCGCCAAGAAGTGGCATGGTGAAAAATCGAGTCACTTTATCCCTCCTAGAATAAAATCTTAATACACCCCTAACTGAACTAGCAAATATTTAAATTGTTTTATGAATTCATTTTATTCCAAATTCAAATTCCATTTTATTTTCACAAACTCATATGACAGTTCCAAAACAATAACAAATTAAAAAATGCTTATTTCGCACTAATTTACTTTTAATAGTATTGAATTTCTATTTAAATGCTCAATTAGTAAGAAATTTCTATTTTCTGGCATAACTGAAACGAGTTTATTAATAATTCCTTTTTCTTTATTGAGGTTAATTCCTATATGTTGGGTAATTTTTTTAGGAGCATATGTTTAAATATTTTTCAAAAATTTTTTTTATAAGAAGCAGGGCTGGATTTGATAGAGGGTTTTAAGGGTAATTGCCTCAGGCAGCAGATGTTTGGGGGCATTCGGATGCCGAAACACTTTAAAAATTTATTGTTATTTTGACCTTCGGTTTAAGAAATATTATGAAAAAATTATCAACTTGAAAAAAAAATATAGGTTTATATTTATATAATTTGGTCTATAAAATGAGTACAAGATGTTAAGTGGCATCAGTATGGGATTGGGACATCCAGCGAATGCACAGATATATTAGTATGTAGGCTTTGATTAAATGTATATGTGTTTTTAATCAATGATGTGGTATATAACTATAAACCTTCGAGTCGTTATATGATTTATTTTTAAACACCATAGATAATAAAGAATTCTTTATTATCTATGTTAAACACCGAGGTGGCAGTACCCGGAAAACAGTCTGATGATAAAGTATAACATTGACATCAACGTATCACTTTACCATATTAAAATAGCGCAGTCCATGTTATTTTGATTTTTCGTCATTATCTATGTTATGCTCTTTATTGTCTGAATGGATGTACAACAAAACAGCGATACTTATGTATGTTTATTGTTCAGTTTTAGTGTGTGTAAATTTGTTAGGTGTTTTGGTACAGAATTTCAAGTCCACTGTGTGGAGGCAGACAATTTTGAATTTTTCCGCATCCGAAATACATTTTGTAAGTTTTATTCCATGCTGTTCAAAAATGTATAAAACTGTGTTATAATGTACACTTCCCTACTTAGTTAATTATAAATAGGTACCTATTTCATAATAACTTATTCCTAAATTTGATTTAAGTATTGATTTGATATTATAAAACCAATGGTTAAAGTAAATAGGGCACACCACTCTACTCGTACCCATAACAGTGGCGGCTCGTGATGTTCAAAGCGAATTGTGTGTAATTTAGTAATTATAATGTAAATTTCCATTTATAAAATAAAATATATTATCATACGTTTTTTTGTCGTCTTCATTTTTTTTTTCTTTTTTGTACAAATTATTTTATTTCATTTCTGCGCTATTTAGTAAATCACTTTATGCTCGAATTATGCATATAGACATTTAGTATATTATATTTATTTATATATTTCCCTTATGTATATATTTATATTCATGGGCGTGATCAAGGATGAGGTTTTAATTCCCATGGACTCTATACAATTATAAATATTAATTTTTTTTATGTACACATATTTTTATTTTTTATGAATGTGGACACGATTTTTCTTAGTAAAATTGATCCTATCAACAACATCAGGGGTGGTTTTCGATACCAAATTTTGTATTAGTTAATTTTATATTTCTCAATCGTTTTCCCAATAATTAAGGAAAACCGATGAAAAATTGTAAAAAAGCGACACCATTTACGGAATGTCGAAATGTAGGTAAAAATTTGAATGAAAATTGCTTCACAAATTCAATTTTAGTAATTTTTTTAGTTTCTAATTCTTCCATTTTTTTTTTTCAATTGTTATTCTATTCCTTGAGCACTGACTTCGTAACGCTATATAAGTATCAATTTGTATATTTTTCAAAATATCTATAAAATGAAAAATATTAGGGTGAGAAGAATTAAACGAACTATTTAATTTCCATGGAAAGATTCGCTATTGTTAGTCTTGCGTAATGTCGATGATAAATATTTTGACCATATTTTTGGTGGAAAGTCAGCGTTATTTTTTAAATATGAATTTAATATATAGTCTACTACAGTAAGCTACTTCTGTAAAATTTAGCAAATAGAGAACCGGATATATTCTTTTGATACAAGCAGTGGCGGATTTAGCGTTTTGGCGCCTCTAGGCTTAATCGCTCTGTCCCCCCTCCCATCACTCTACTAAGGAACTAACAATATTTGGTCTGAACCCTTCTCTTAAAACTCTATTCAGTTTTTTTTATTAAAAAAAATATATATATATATAAAATATTAAATTTTTAAAATAGAAAACTTCTAAAAATAAAATATTTCATGTTTATTATTTTATTTCAGACACCATTATTACCAGTAAAAATAAACAATGCTTATACAGTTACATAACGGAAATATAAATAGCCAGATTTGATAATACTTATACTCGGATAATCGGATGTTCCCAATAAGTATATAGGTACTAATAAGTTATTAATAATAACTAGTAAGTAACTGTTATTATTTTATTACAAATGAAATATTTTCAAATTGCAATAATTGTAATATTCTTACTATAGCCTATAGGTACGCATCATACAATGTATATATTAATATATTATTATAACTTTTTAAAATTATTTTTATTCGCATTTATATGACAAATATAAAAAAAATGTATTAAAATAAATATACCTAATAAGTCAATAATAACACTTAATTCTATAAAAAAAAAAAATCCGCCCTCCCAAAAAAGCCGCCCTGGGCTGTAAACCTTTTAGCCTGCCCCCTATTCCGCCACTGGATACGAGTCGTTATTACACCTGTACAACTAGATATGAGCCGCTACTGACCTTTGGAAATAAAATCCTACATACACCATAGCATGTAAACAAAGAAGCTTGACAAACAATTTTTTAAAGTATACTATATAATTTTATGTAATTTAATTTTGATAATATATATTAATTAATGCAATTTAATTTATAGGCATTATTTTTGGGTCTTAGTAACAATTTTTGATAGGTATGAAGTATTTTGAATTTCAAAATATGAAAAGAGTCCAGAGAAATGGCGTTGCTAATCGAAAATTAAAAAGCAAAAGAAGAAAAAATTAATAATGACATTAAAAAAACCAAATGTATATCTAATTTTTTTTAAGTCAGACTTATTACTTCTAAAAGTACCACATTTATAAAAATGTATTTATTTTTTATTACTTACTATTACTAACTATTTAGTATTTACTGTATATAACATTTAATTAAACTGTGATATTATTATACATACAGAAATTTGTGATTTGTAAAGCATGAACAGTGGTATTCAAAACTTGAAATAAAAAAGTTTAGGCAGATAATTTTAACGTGCAAGTATGCAAATTTTTAATTTTTCCTTTACTACATGGATAAAGTTAATTTTGTACTGCTAGGGGCCTCGAAAAATTGATTTGCCTTGGGCATCCGATAGTCTAAATCTGGCCCGGGTAAGAAGTTTAAAGTCTTTGGCTCTCCATTAAAATCTGTTCAATACTAAAAAAATCGGAGCTAATTTGAATTTCACTATGCTTGAAATATATTTTCAGCTAATTTCAATCATTACGAATTCAAAACACAGTATTTACAATTGTAGATACTGGGTTTTGTCATTGTTTTTATTATTTTTACTGTCTGTTAACTCCTGAAATAATTGTCTGTTTACAAAGAGAATGTTTTATAAAAATTTTACAGGTTTTGGTATCTAAGAATATATAAAAAGTAAATTTTGATAAGAATGTTGGTTACTGTGTTTAGACGATGTACAGTTGTGCATCTAATCTGTGCAGCAGTCTATTAGATCATTATATCATCGTTTCTCAACCCTTTTAGTGTCGCGACCCCCAAAATAGGTAAAAAATATGGTTACTCACTTCGCGATCCCCTCCATCTATATTAGGTAAAAATTTGATTCGAATTTATATTTTGTAAATCAATGTTTAATTATTTTTGACCTACGCGACCCCCCTGGGAGTCGTGACCTCCTAGTTGAGAAACGCTGCATTATATTTATGTATTGATATCTAATATCTGAGCATACGATAAGCGTCGATAATACGCGCATTATCAACATGTCACAGAAATATAAAATAAAATTATTTTATCTGTGAATTACGTCTTGCTAGCCGCCAAGATGCTACTGCTATTTTCATACTACATTGAGTGTTTTAACTTCTAATAGCAGCTATAAAACAATGTAGGAAACTAGGAAAACCTAAAAATCAAAATTGAAAATGTAGCAATCTGTTATTGTTAGCACTGAATAGCAGTCTGCGTGCTAATGTAAATATTAGCAGTGCTATTATAACTGCTACTGCTATTTCTTACCATCACTATTATGTGTGAAATTCGGGTACCTGAAGCCGGGATTCACTGGTGCGATACTAAGTATCGCCAAGTCTTTCGGGCCCTACAGTCAAACATAAAATGGGGCCACTTAACCAAAAAATGTAAATGTTTAGTAAAAATTAAGTTTCTTTTTCAATACTAGATCTTTCTTCCAGTTATAATAATTATCCGTATCGCTGTTGTCACACAATATGACCAATTCATAATTATATAGATGAGACCAGTAGCGCAATCAGGATTTATCTTCGGGCGAGGGAGGAGTATGCATTTAAGAATAATTTAATTTCAGAAGGTGTTTTGTGGGGAGAATAGGACCAGGCTTAGTTAGGTTTATAAGTAAAATCTGTAAATTGTTTAACTATTATTTATATATATTTTAAAACAATTTAGGCTCATATTAATTATTTATTCTTGAGAGGGGGGGGTGCACAACCACCAACTCTTTCTTTCTAGTTGCATTACCGGATGATACTTAACAAGATATTTATATATTTTTTTAATCTATTTAAAATTTGGTATAAAATAGATTTAAAAATAACAAAGGTATTAAATTGCTTGGATACTTGGATAGTTATTGTATTATTTGGTTGTTCCATGAATATATATTATGCAATAAGCATATACATAAAACGTAACACGGTGTTTGCACTGCTAACAAAAATGTGTAAACTGTAAATTTGTTAGTAAACATACTAAAAAAAAATAAAATACTGTAAAGCAAGTGTACAAAATATATTAACTGACAAAAAAAGTGTACAAAAACTAGGTAAATTAAATTTCTTTACATATATGTACGCTATATACATAATATATATCAACTAATAAATATTTATCAAATCTACAGCGACGGCGCCAAAGCCAGGGCTGAATGAGCCGTGGTACAACTGGAAAGTCTGCAGAGGTCTGTTCACTGGCTCGTCTGAAACTGTCTATTATAATATACATTAATTAGTTTCTCAAATAAACTTATTTCCAAATACGCATGACACTATAAAATGGAACATTAAGAATACATACTTAAAGAGTATTTGTTTAAAATAGTAATGACAAGAATATACGTAATATATAGGTACCTATAAGCTTTTTTAAGTGGCCACTATGATACATTGACCTTCAATATTAGCCGGTCCAAGGAACCATTCAGCCATTGCCATTGTGTAATTCGAAAAAGTATGAATGAAATGCGGTCTTAAATGCATTATATTTAAATGTAAATATTTATTCGAATAGTGTAATAATATTTAGTATAATGTTTCTTTCATTTCCACGTGCCATTCCTTCACATTTTTGGATTGTAGATTATTAATAGTCTTTCTAAAAATACAATACCATAATATACCATAAATTATACATATTATAGTTTCAGTGTAAAATCCATCGATAATAACTTGACAGGTGCCACTCGACAATTTACATTTCTAAATAAATGAAATATTTAAGATTATAGTAACATTTAATTCATTCATATGGTCATTTAATTTGCTTACATCTTCTTGAATTTTTGATGAACATGTATTAGTATGATCGGTGGAACACTGTTTAAAAGTACAATATTCAATAAACCACAAAGCTCCAGTTTTACTAAACGACAATCCTAAATTTGATATAGTAGTCAATAGCGTCATATTTGTGCCACCAATTTTGGGGTCACTAATACTAGCGTAAAATGAAACCGCCATCAATAACATAATACTCTCGACTAACTGAAATAAAAATAAATATTTTGATAACATAAATTAAATAATAACATAATATTATTAAATAAAGTCAAAATGTTATTTTAGATTTTAAACGAATTAACGAGAATATAATAAAATTTCACTAGAAGCGTAAACAAAAAAAAATATTTTGGGTTGGGGTTTAAGGTTTTCAAAACTACGATAACAACAATCAAAATAATTAATTAGTAACAAAAAAGGTGACCTAAAATAAGGTTAAGAAACTTTAATCGACACAATATCTTTTACATAAGGCAAAAATACTGATCGTTCAGTTTAGGTATACAAATATAAATGTTCTTACAAATTCGGGGTTTCATGCTCTTTGCTTACGCGCCAATTCACAATAATAAATTTTTTTTAAACACGTACTCCTAGGGTTGCCATAAATTTATAAGGCGTAACCGGGACAAAACAAACACATTATTGAGTAATATACTTTTTATATAACTTTTATTATAAGAGAAGATCAGTGGCGTATTCAAGGGAGGGATATGGAGGTCAAATCCCTCTAGGATTTTTTTAAATGTTATGTTATGTTCTTAGTGTGAAGGCATTAGAAACGTAAAAAAAAAAATAATGATTTGTTTGCAAATGATCCCTCCCCCATACAAAAGTATGTATACGCCACTGAAGAGGACCATTAATGGCCGGCAATATAATATTTAAAAATATTTTTGTAAAATAAAATATATTATATATTTATATGTGTAAATTACAAATTATGTTTTTATTATATATTTTTAATCGATAAAATAGTCGAAATTAAAAATTAAACAATAGTACATTTCCTCTAAATGTCTAAGCCGGGACATATAGACGTCTCGAAAACATTTTTCGGGACACCGGGATACGAAGTCCATAACTGGTGATAATCCCGGTTTTCCGGGACGTATGGTAACCCAACGTACTCACAATCTCTTTTGATACTATAGAATGTAATGCGTAGAAATATAATACCTATGTCTAACTTTACATTTTTAGCTAATACATTTTATTTTAGTTATTTAGTAATTAGCGGTTCCACAATATTTAGATAAAAATAAAAATATTTAATTTGTATCAAATAAGATTTAAATTTTTATTTTTAAATCCTGAAAATGTAACAATAAGTTACGAACTTTTTTCAAGGGATTGTTAAAAATAGTACACTATAAATTAGATAAATAGATAAATTATTCCAACATTTCATTACAATAATGACAATACCACGCATCTACATTTCACTAATTGTTCATGAGAGTGAAAATAATGAATAAATATTAACAAATATTATACACCTCACATTTTTATCAAGTTTAAATTTAAGTTAAGATTATTCAACATTATTTTTAATAAAATTCTTTAAATTTGGTTGCTGTTTAAAATTTAGTATAGTTACTCGGTATTTATTAAAGTTTTTGTGAGATACGAGTTATTGAGCAGTGCTTTAACATGGTTGAAATTTATAAAAATACTAAATAATATGTCCAACTTGGAGGGGAAATAATATATTTTATGTTATTGTACAGAAAATAAATGTTGTGCGCAAAGAGATAGGTAACAAATATTTTGATACCAAAAACTCATTTTATGTAAAATGTCATTAGTGTAACGATTTAATATACTTACATTTCTACAAGTATGAACATTTTAATTTACTATTATTTATTTATTTTTTATATTATTAATTAATTAGATTATACAATTTGAGTATATTATCATTTTATTAAAAAACTAAAAACTAATAAAATTATAATTAATATTTATATCTTACCTGTTGCAAAGAGTAAATCATCAGCAATAGTACTTTATATATAACAAGTAAAGCCTTTGTTTGGATCAAAAAATATGGTGTCAAGTAAATTAATATAGTTAAAACCATCCCGATTAATAACCTAAACAAAACTTAAATATCTGTGATAAAAGTAAATAATTAATGAAATTAATTCGAAAATAAAATAAATATTTTACCGGTAGGGTATGGTATTGAAAAAAGTTATCAGAAATTTATCTTGAGACGTAAATTTGTTAATAATAAATGGAAAACATAAGCGTATAGGTGTAAATATAGATTCAATTGTAGCTATGTCTTCTTTGGCGATTCCGCCGTCTATAAGTTTCAATTTATATGTAGCATCAATAGAACAAAAACATATCTATATCAATTGTACATACAATTCATTATAATAAATATATTTTTTTTAATATATTTTTATTAATATATAATTAATATATTAATTCATTATTTTATAGTATTTACTTTAACGGTAAATAATATAATAGCGAGCATTTTGATATTAGGTAATTTCATTATACTGAAAAGTAGCTTATATGTTTTAAAAATGCCGAGATCCACTTCTGGTTCAGCTATATTTTTTTTTTCAGACTTAAATATAGCTATTAAAGTAGTAACAATCATAAACATTAATCCCCAAAAATAAAAGTATCCTGAAATAATAAACGTTAAACTTAATAAAAAAAATTTCTCAAAAATCAATAATATAAAAAATTAATAATTAGTAAGATCATATTAAATTATTTTACCTTGTAAAGTAACTATACCGCCTGGTAATGAAGAAATTCTCCACCATTTATTCCTGAAGGTTTCTGATGTTAATAATATTAATAAATTATAGCCTAAAATCATTCCGAAAGCTTGTCCGGCATTGTTACATATAGCAGAATAACAAATATTTTGCCTACAACATAGTGGGTAATTATATATATTTAACTGATTATAATTATTTTAAAATAATAAAAATAAACCTTTCCAACATAGCTATTGCCCATCCATCTACGATAATATCTTGAGTGGCAACAAGAAAATTTGAAATTAAAAACATTATGGTCAAAGCATTTATGTTTGATTTGTTGCTATTTACTAACCATTCGTGTATATGAAAACCCATGACGAAGAATAATATGCCTATAAAATTATCATATTGGTTCTCAATATTAAAATAATATTTAATTATTACCACTGATTGTAAACAATAACAAAACATTAACTGTGATTAATAATACTTAATTTAAGTGTTTAATTAAAAGATATAATGTAACATATTTTGCAGGATTAATTTTTCTCGGAATAACATAATTAAAAATGTTTTTGCTTGTTATCTCATGGTCATAACATCAATAAAAGTTAAATAAGTATGTGTCAGAAATAGAAAAATGCGTTTTAAATGTATAATTGTGCCATCATACATCAAAACAAAAAACATTTTAATCTAATACAACGTTGTAATTACCATGTTCTACGTCTATAAGCGAGCATATAAATTACGATTTCGTTTTGTTACTATGTTAAATAAAGAAAATGTCTCTTAATATCTTTTAATTGAACATTTACGAAGTATACCTAAACTATATTGTACTGGAATTAACCAAGATTTTCGACGGCCTAATTTTCGTGAAAACATAGAATCAACTAATGGCGCCCATAAAAGCTTCAAACTGAATGGCCAAACTACTAAACTGAATTCAGCCTGAAAATTTTAAAATATCTTTTTAAAAAACTATTTTTAAGATTCTTTTTATCTAATTATAACTCTACTAATATTTACTTGTTTATAATACGACGATTTAGGAATACTGTGTATCAAAATTTGCATTGCGTACGAGAACCCCAAAGGAACTCCTTGCAAAGTATATAGCACCAATAATAAAAAAATACTAAACGCATCGTTTTTCGGATTTGATTTAACTGGAACACTAGGTTTCTCAATTAATGATTCAATGTGAGTAGTTTCAATCATATCCAAAATATTTAATATAGTGTATAGCTAAAACAAACATATAAAACATTGTATTTACATGACAAAGCATATTTCAATTTATATTAATAAGTTTTATTTTATAATAAATTATAGTAAATACTATTAAATAGCATGAACTTATTTTCAACTCATTTATAATAATAATTACAACAATATAATTATTAACTTCATATAAGGGGTGGATTAGGAAAAAAATGTCAGTGCAGGAAAATAGTAAATAGATCGATGTACGGTCGTTATAAATGATGTTGAGTTACGACCAAGTATATTGGGAAGAATTCGGAATTCACAGTAGACCTGGGCTGTATATTCGATACACAAAAACCTACGTATAATAAAATATACAACCAACAAAATAATATATTATTTGTAGAAATCGAGGAAAGCATGCATTTCAAATCTTTAAGATTAGTGCAATTTGAAACTATTCAGTTATATGTACATTTGCCTGCTGGGGGAAAATAAAATTTCAACTTTAAATTTATTAAATTGAATTAGTGTAACACCTCAAGACCCTCCACTCTTAAGATAGCCTTGAATCCTGATTAAAGGAAAATGGTGTTCGATATAGAAAACGCCTTTTAATTTCAATATTTATTTTTAGAAAAATTACAAATAATTTTGTGTTAAGGAGCCTCTCTATAGCATTTATTTAAAGAGCAACATTTAGGCAATTTCTAATCTTATCGTCGCCATCCGAGATCTATGTGTTAACTGTAAATGGGCTGTATGACATAAGCGCCAAAAGTACAAATATGACTTATCATTTGCGTCAAAATCTGTAGGACATAAGCGCCAAAAGTGCAAAAGTGACATAGCATTTGCGCCAAAATTAATATTTCATATAAGTAGGTAGTTTTTAAAAATTAAAAAAAAATTTAAAAAAATGTCGATAATAAATTATAATATACATGCACATCAATATAAAGTACATTACAACGATATAACGAAATAGCTACTAACAATATGTTATAACACAAAACTTGCTCACACACTGTCTATGTGACAATCTGTCATAATCATATAATACATTTGTCAATTAAGATTAAGTGTTTGGAGTTTTTGAACGATGTAGTTCTAAATTTAATATATGTTATTTAATTTACAGATATCTAGGATTTTGACGCTTTCGTACGATACGACTAATTTTTCTTATTTCATTTTGGCGCTTATGAACGATACGATTTTGGTGCTTTTGTACGATACGACTTTATTTTTCTTTCTTATCTCATTTTGGCGTTTATGTCTTCCATCGCTGTAAATGATTATTAGTGTGTGTGGCGTTAATGCGGGTAGCACTACTTTCCATACCATCATCCAGGTAGTCATTCATCGTAATCGTTATCGCAGCTTACCATATTTGTTGAATTATAGTTTATCGAAAATTAAGTACCCATGTTTTTTATGTACAACAGTAATTAATAAAAAAAAAAAATAGCTCCAAATAGTTTGCAGAGCAAAATAATTTGTACTATTTTTGTTTAGGTATTCAAATTTAGTAGTCATATTAATAGGAAAAAAATCATCCTGTCTGTTAGAGTATAAAGTATATAAATCGTTGAATCTCGGTCACCTTTACGACAAAAATATATGGAACCTAACATAAAGGCTGTAATATAGAAAAAAAAATAATAAGTATAAATGAAAAACAACAAATTCAATTTAAATTTTATATTGCTTCGTTTTAGCCTAATAGGAAAAAAAGAAAATTCTTACAAATATGAACTCTGGTAATCATAATCGCTGAAGGTAATAATAACAAAATGTTCTGTTACTGAACTGCATAGTATGGGTTTGAAATTCGGTAAGAATGTTACTAAAAATATGAACGTTCAGTTGACTTTTATAAAATTAATTTCTTAGATTTTATGAAAGGATTCGCAGGCATTATACAAAAAAAAACTGGTGGAGTTTACATTAGACCTTTTATTACCCTTTTATTCTAGCGGACTTTACAATTGCCCAGGTATATAATATTATCAGGACACGGGAATATAACTATTTGCTAACATTATTATAGAATACCACGAAATAACATATCTAATTATATTACACTATATAGGTTCATTATCTTGACGCGGCACGATAGCGGTACCGAGGGCTTGCGCACGCACTCGCACGCACATGTCAGAAAATTTGTTGAGATCTCTAAAAAATGTTTATTTTTCACTCAAACATACGATTCTAATTCAAATAATACATCGCAACGATTATCTCGATTTGCATTCCGAAAAACATTCTTTTTTTCCACAACATGTACGAGGGATCGATTGAGACACATTTTAAAAATTGTATTAAGTTGATTAAATATTTAAATTGAAATTCTATATTTTTTTGAATTGTCAACAATATTTATTGCAATTCAAATTAAAAAAATTAAAAATGTGAGAATTCGTATATTATTTCAGAATAAAAATCATGATAATTGTCGACACGTAGCGTTGGAATTAGAAACAGTAGTTTTTGTTAAAAAAAGATGTGGTGGTAAGGCCCAATAATATTGAAATTTAATAATGCCCAACTGATTTTCCCTTACTTGTTAGTTATAACTATTACGTCAATTATAAATTTCTAAGTTTGATGTACGAATATGTGTGATTACACACAAAATGTATAACAAAATAATATAAAAGACTAAAATAGTTTTAACAGAGATGTGAAAAATATTTAAATTATTTTTTATACATGGTACAATTACTACAACACTGCAGATACCATATACAGATACAAATGCTTTAAAATAAATACACTATTATATGGTACAAGTACTAAATAGCGTAAATACTCGATAAAATCATAATCAGCAGAACAATTAAAAAGTATTTTATAATATATAATTTGAAAACGATTTGTGTATCACAAAAATTGTGTTTTTAAATAATTTAAGAAAGTTTATCAGTTTTATAATTTTGATTAATTGAGTAAAATTATCTTTATTTTTAAATTTGAACATTATATAAAGTGTGATATAATTATTTTTAAATTAAATACCTAATGTTCATACATTACAAATTCAAATAATATATCGCTTAAAACAAATTTCTAATAATTACTACTCTATTTTATACACTCTATTATATATTTGTACCCAACAATTTAACGTCTTAAAAAAATTTCTTTAAGTCTATGATTTGATTTCAGGAAACACAAGAATATGAAAAAATAATTCATATTTTTTGAATCTTCGGTCATAATAGCACAGGTGAAAATGAACAGATCGATTAATTAGCTGAAGAAATAATACCTACGTAGTTTCAATCTATAAAACCTAAAAGTATTAATTATAACGAAAAAATATAATTTATTAAGGAAGAAAAATTAAGTTATTTTTCATTACTGCAAAAATCAAAAAAATTACATTCCAAAAATACTTCAGTACATTAACTTGTACATAAGAATACTATTTATGCATTATATACATAATTTTTAATCTAAAAAATACAGTATTTATGTACATATTTTGGTGGGTAAATTAATTATCAATGGACCACACAATATTAATTTTGACTTAAAAAAAAATATATATAACTGCCTATTGTTTGTATAAAAAAAAAAAAAAAAAAAACGATGAAAGTTGAAATATGTTTTTATTTAAATACGTACAATAAAACAATAATTTTATCGTTGGAAATTTATATACCCATATGCATTTTATTATTTTTGTTTTTCTAATTTTCCTATTTGGTTATGGGTTCTCAATGTGGAAGAACATAATAACCTAACTTAGTAGCTAGGTAAGCCAGACTAACACAGAATAAACTAGTATACAAGAGTGTAAATGAAAATATAAACAATAAAATAAAACATCATTATGATACTAATTTATTTTTCGCATTACATAGAATTTTTAAAATTAATCATTAATTTCCTTTTAAGTTATCAAAAAGGACGCGCTCATAATGATAGGTTGTAACATGAATAAAAAAAATTGGCTAATAATAGTTTTCTTGATTTCTAACAGTAAGATATAAGGCTTAAAGAGTTTGGCCTATTTAACCAACAGTTATCATTAACATACGATAGAATTTTGTTCTAAGTAAAAAAATTAATTTAATCATAAATAACAACTGGCTGAGATTAGATTAGATTATATAATTTAGTACATGTTCTTTCAGCTCTTTATAATCTAGTAATAATAAATTCATTTTTTTGGAATTTAAGAATTCTGATAATTTCATTTTTCTTAAAAGTATAATTATATTGAGAATCCATGATAAGATCATATTACTGTTTACCTACTATATATTGTTAATAACAATAATAGTAAACAAAAAGTAAAAAAATTGTGCTCAAATGTATATTACCATAATTGAATTATGTTGAGTATTGGTTATGCGTACTATATTATTACAAGCCACAAGAATACATTTTGAAATTGTTTAATAATATGCAAAGGTGGGCAAGTTAATGAAAATAATTAACTCAAGTGAAGTTAAGTTACGAGAACACAAGATCGATAAGTTAAAAGTTAATAAGGAAAAAAATATCAATTTAAGTGACTGCGTTCTTTAAAAAGATCTAATCTCCTAAATAATAATAAACAATTGTATTGAATTTTTTATCATAATATAAAGCAGTGGCGCCGAAATGTCTAAAAAATACTATGACATTGTACATCAAGCCATTCACTACCGTATTTATTTATCTTTATTGTTAAAATTCTTTATACAAAACATTCTGTATCCCCGGTCAGAACCCAATACCCAAAATTGAGCCCCCAACCTACAAAATCTAATATGACCTCTGATGTACAGTGTATGCGACCATTTTACTTTACATGATTACATAATTTTTATATTAATATTTACGTAAAAACGAAAAATTTCAAAAATGTTTAATTGGATAGATCAATTAAAATATAAAATTAAAATGGATAAGTCGCATATGATACAAGTTTTTATACTTTTATTTTTTAGCTAAGTAAATTAAACATAAAAAATAAAAATTTCATAATTATAAAACCATTATAAGGTAAACTTCGCTTCGTTTATAATTATAATAAAGAATATATTGTATGCAATGAGATATAAACATTAATTTAATTTTTATAATTTGAAAATAAGAAATAATCATTTAATACTCTAATCCAAGCGAAGAAATTATTTATCTAGTTGATAAAATTTTGAACTTACCTCCCTCAATTTCTTACGATCAAATATATTTAACTTTAATTAAATAGTTTTTTGAACTGAAACAATACTTGTTCTGTACTTAGTTAAACAATTAATTAAGTATCTAATTTATTTAATAATAATATAAAAAAAATTTTTTATATCATTTCGTATTAAACATTTTTTAAGTTTTAGATGATACGAACGCCGAGTGTCCGCGTTTTAAAACGAAGACGTGCACTTCTTACACATTAGACGCGTGTCAACTAATTATGGTTGAAAATCGCGACCGAACACTCAAAAGTAAGTGAATTAGACTAGGCGATTGGAACGCGCGCGTCCGCGTTTTTTACGTATAATGTATTACGATAAATAGATATAGTCGTGTTTAACAATTCAACATGCGCGATTCGGCCCGAACGAACCCGACCAGACGCTACCGAACTCGTATCTCACTTTTCTTTAGACCCTCTAGACTTATTATTCAATAAGAAAAAAAGAGTCCTTCACAAAAAAAAAAGCCACTGAACATATTTCGTATCTAGGGTACAATTAATAAAAGAATATAAATAAATAATAAACAACTATTATGAGCCGTTAAACATTTTCGTTTACCATGTATATGTGTACTTAATATACGATCTATAAATTTTTCCAAAAATACTACTTAATTTCTCCGTTCTCCAAAATCTAAAATCACGCGTAGTTTTACGATGAAGATTAAACAATGCACAGTAATAATAAGTAGTTATAATTATATTTATTAAAAGAAAAATTATAATTTCATAATGTTAAATATTTATAATGTTGTTTTTTATTGCAAGTATTTAATATCAATGTAATATTAAGTATTTAATATTTAATGTTCAATTTTTCTTTTTATCGGTGTAAACGATTAGAAATCATCTATTACTTCTTCAATATTAATTTCTAATGCCATTTTTTGCTCAATAAATATTAATATCAGTGAATCATTTAAACTTCATAAATAGACAATTTTGAAAAAGCACGCTCATACGAGCAGTTTGTTACATATATTGTTGCGAGAAAAAAAAAAATTAAAGTTTTAAGCGACCCTCATATGATCAATATAAGTGACAATATTTTGGATACTGACAGTATTATTGATCATGTAATGCGAGTACTGGTATACTGTCAATATGAAAAAACGATACTGACGATTGATGAAAAATTTGGATATTGAGTTTTCAGTATTTATTTACTGATAAAGATATTGACCGTGTTTGGTGGATAATAACATTTCTTCAGTACATTTTCGCACCCATGCAGTGCATTTTATAAGGAATTTTCACTGGGCAACAAAAAATATTTTTCTCAAAATAGTCAATGTAATACCATAGTACGACTATAGTATTACACGTTTGTTTCGCATTATTTCGCCCAATCTTTCAAAATATTTTCGATAGAGTATAATCACTGGGCGATATTTGTGTCGCCTAGTTAACTAGTTAAAAAATGCATTGCAGCCATGGGTGACATAAGCCGAAATACCGGTACACCCGCATAAACGAAATCAAAACACAGGTACAGTATTGCGAATTGACACAAACTTTTACTGACCGTTTTAGGACTAAACTGTCAGTAAGCCCAAGTACTATCAGTATTCATACTGTCAGTAATATTGATCGTGTGAGGGCCGCTAATTGAGAAATATTAGGCACAGAGTAAGAAATAGGTAGTTTAAGATTTTGGATATTTCTGAGTACAAAGTCATACTTTGAACTGTGGTCTTTGACAAAACTTTTGGGGAGAGGGGAAGGAATAAAAAATAATATTTTGCCTTCTGTTACCAATAAACCATTTTGAACATCCTATTTGAAATGTCATCTAAATAAAAATAAAAATTTCATAATCTGATAATGTTGCAATCAGTGGCGGCGCGATACGGGTTTTATTGAAACAGCTGTTTCATGACTAAAATGCGGAAGGTTAAGAAGGTATTGTGTGACAGAAACGTTTAATACATAATTTGCACATTTCACATTAAATATTATTGTATATAATTTTGTTTGGATCCGTTTTTTTTAATATTTATTCTAAATCTACAACATTGACTCGGGTTGGGTATTCGATATACGAACGGCTTCATTGGGAATAACAGCTAAGCGTATAAAAAGCCGAAGTTGTTTTCCAAGCAAGTTTTTTTAGTGTTATAAGACAGATTCAAATGAAGATTGCCGGTTGCGTATTAACAGCGCAGACTGGAAGCGTATTCAGTTATACATATTTAGAGATTAAAAAATTATATAAAGATAAGCTGATAACATTATTTTTCTTTGATAAATACTAAAAATATTTAATTTTCTTCTATTTATAGCTATGGATTTTTAAATTAAATGAAATATGAAATAGAGTTTAATATTATAACGTGATGATAGTATTACGCGAAAATATTGCAAATTATTACTGACTGTCTGAATACCTCACAATGCATAAAATACAATTTAATATTAATTCGCTAACGTTAAAAAACCGGTACAACACTATTTATAAGAGATTATATTTTGGAAATAACTCACTTAGAATGGTATGAATACAGCTATTCGAATAAATATTTTTTGTTCTTGACAACATGATGAAGTGTTTAAGGCGTGATATATATTTTGAAGTATATTTATTATTAGAGAAATAGTAACAAGCAATAGGTAGTTGCATTTTGTTTCATGGTTTGATGTAAATCATTTATCACATAAAATACGGGCAAACAGCAATGGAATGATAAAAACCACCCACGTGATAACACTGATAAGCCTATGTGTAGAAAAATCAAGAAATATCCTAAAAATTGCAACAAGATACTACCTACCTTATGATGTATTTAACCGAGTTATTTTTATCATTTTGAAACATGTAAAATTACAACAATTTTAAATTGTAGTACTTATAAATTATGCAATCAAATTTCATTTTTAAATAAATATTCAACATTTAAACATTAAATTGCAATACTTAATTATAATTTAAAATGATATCACTTTACTTGCGTTTTAATTTATCAAATTCGATAATTTAGACGCAATCAAAGTTTGGTTAATTGTAGTGTTTAAAGAGGATTCTTATTATTTTTGATCTAGTATAAATAGAACCTCATTATAAGTTATCAGTTACAAAGTATAATTCACCAGTTATAAAAATTAAAAACATAGTTATTTATTATTTACATTTAAATTGTTAATTACTATTATTATTTCCATTTATAAATAAATAATGTTAAAATGTATGTTAGGTAATTTATGATTTTTTCACTGTTGTTTTCACTGAGAGCTTTCTTCTGTCTTCTGTGGTATGAACAGTATCTTCTTGCATTCTTATACTTTGTGGAGTGTTGGACAAGGACGTATTTATGGGACGAGAGGATACCATCGCTTCGGGCAGCAAGTTTTTTTGGAATTTAGGGGCGGGATCATTTTTTCGTAATCATAATCTATCATACATTTTCATTTGTCAATCAAAAAATGATAATATTTTAAGATTTTTAATAGCGACCACATGGCGATTTTTATTTTCATGATAATATTATCAAAAGTTGACCGCGTAAAATCCATAGATAATAAATATTATCTTTCTTGAAAAATCGTATAAAACGTGTATAGGGGTAGCAATAAAACTTTACTTGGGACGTCAAAATTCTAAATACGTCTGTGGCCTTAGATGTTATACCGATGGATATAATAATTTTGTTATTTAAAATTCATTTGTTGCATATGAGAGACGGATTTTTATTTGTAGAATATGAACATTGCGAAGAAATGTCTGATGTTGGATGTCGTCATGACGGCTTAAAAAGGAATAGACTTCCATTGAAAACAACCGAGAAAAATTTTAAATTTCATAACAATAATTCCGTTAGTATTAACAATCGTGTTAGTAAGTCAAAATTGTAATACTCTATTTTTAATGTACATAGGTTAATAACCACAGAAGTTGAAGCTTTAATTTAAGAAAAATAAACAAATATATTTATATATATTTTTTTTTTATCTAATTAATTTAGGTACCTACCTATTTTTTCATCAAAATACTTTAAAAGTTTTACCGTTTTACGAAAAAATAACGTAATAAACAATTATATGAAACATTTTTAAGTATAATTAATTAATTAATAATACATAGCATCTATTATTTATATAATTTTATTATACATTGATTAAATTATTAATATAAGCAAGGAAAACAAATAATTGATAATTGTTAATTTTATATTATAATTTATTGTACGAGATTATGCATACCTTTAAATGTGGAGTACCTACACACGTGGTTCCTATCAGCTGGCGGAATATTGTTAACCAACTGTCGAGAAAGAAACGGTTATGCTATGCTGGATGTGTAAACACAAAACTACAATCAAGATTATACGGAGGGGGAAAAGAAGGCCATTGTCCAGATCATTTTTTTTTTTTTTTACTATCATACTAGGTATCGGAAATTGCTGTCAATTTTTTTTAAAGAAAAATGTTAACGATATGATATCTTAAGAAATATGAACTAAATGGTAATAAAATTTATTTGTAATGAAAATTTGAATACTAAATTATGTATTGAAAAAGAATGATCTTTTTATCTTATATATTAATAACTACTTATAATATTATGAATACTGTTATTATTGGAATCAAATAATTAAAGTAAAAAAATGTTACAAATCGAAGACTATGTAAAAAAACGTAATATGATTAAATTTGCAATTCACTTACACCTCACTTTTAAAAAATTGATAATAGGTATGTACGTGTATGTATTTATTGTATAATTATTGAGGTCTAAAAAATATATTTCTATACATTAAATATAATGATATTTACTATTATTGTTAAAATATTTAAAATCACTATTTATTAAAAACGTTCTTTATAAATGTGTAAATATGAAAAGAAATTTGTTTTAAGCAAAAAATATATTTATAAAAAAGTAAAAATTATATACATGTCTATTAAATCCTGAAAATTCAAATATTCCTAGGTACATATAAAAATAAATTTGAAAAATTATTGATTTTATAGGTAATACCACAGATTATATTAATCTGTGTTAATACTTGTAAATTAAATAAATAAATTATATAATGTAATAAATAATTAAATAAATTCTTGTATAAAGTTATAATAGATAATCTTAGATCTTAATGTTTATATTTTTGCTTATTATTAAGCAGATGACATTCTTCAATATTATTATACTTTATTGCTATTTTAGCCAGATCTAGTAATTAATAACATACCTATTTATCACAAAATAATTATAGGTTTAAGTTTTTATTTTTGATCCTTAACCATCACTATACTTCCCTCACTTGATTATTTACTGTACAATTTTTTTTATGTTTTTTTCACTGTCTTTATGTGATATTTCTCTACTTTTTCTAATTTTTAAAATACCGTGGTTCATTAAAATTTTAATTAAATGTCGACCATAAAAATTGATCAAGATAAATATTATAAAGCAACTTAAATTTTTGGGGTTATTCTAAGTTTTCTCTTATATAAACATTTCAAAAGTAAACAATTTGTTATAAATATTACTTGTTTAAAAAGTATTAGATAGATATGGTATATATTTTATGTTTGATCTTCATTAAATATTTGAACATTGAAGTCACATCTATAATTTAGTTTAATGCCATTATAAGGGTTACCATTTTTGGTTCGGGTCTTATCGGAACGACCTAAGAATTTTAGGATGGAGTGTATAAAAATATTCAATTTTGTAATAAAAAATTATAATTCTTTGTTTTAGATCAAATATTTGTTTATTTATTTAGTTTCCAAAATAAAACAAATATTTTTAGTTTATTGCAGAGTAATAATTGAATGGCCATACTTTTCAGAAGATTTTGCTTTTTTCTACAGTTCTTCCCATTAAAATATTTGTAGAACTGCGCAGGTCATGTTAAATTAATTTGACACTGTAAAATCAACTTCACAGTTTCTGGGAGCAGGCGATCTCCTATATCAGTTCATGGGGCCAATGTTAACGAAAACTTTTACGCATAATTCTAATCGTATAAGTTTAAAACCATTATTTTTTATCGCATAAGTGTTTTCAATAAAGTAAAATTTACAAAATTTGCAATGCACAGTTTCGATCAGGACATATTAGATTTTTGTCGGAACAGAGATTAATAAAGGTGACAATCCCGATTTATAGAAATGGATGGTAACCTTAACCATTATAAGCTCAAAATTATCAAAAATTAATTTTAACAATGGTAATCACGTATGTAACGAATTCTTTTCTATGAAAAAATAAAAATAATACTAATTTTTGCAATTTTTTTTACGCAAAACCAAATGAATGATTAAAAATAACTTTTAAATATTATTTTTTTAATAAAATCATAAATTTGAGTTAGAGTAGGTAATTAAATTGTTATTAAACTTCAATCAATCATAAATAGCATAAAAAAATGATTTTATCCAGAATTGTTGTCAAATTTAAATTGTTTAAAGGTAAAACTAATGGTACATATTTTTCTAGATAAAGTTGTACTTACCTTATATAACAATTTTTAAATAAAAAAAAAACTAAAACAAATAATTTTAAAATAGATCTATAGTTAAATTATCTATAAAATATTTTTATATAGATATTTTACCCTAATGCGAGTGTAATAGTGTACGTAATTTCGATCAGGAGTGTTCTCGTCATTACAATCTTTTTTGTCAAGTTGATACTTTAAAAGGATCATTTTATTTATCATTTCTTTTTTTTTCCAATAATTTCCTAAATTATTGTAAACAAATGATGAAATATTATAAGAAAATTAAGGCAAAATTGATAGAAGAAGAGTTTTTAACTATATCAAATTTTTGTTTTCATCACAACCGAAAAAAAATTATAGAAAATTGAAATTGTCATTAAATACTTTTATCATCATTTGTTATAGATGGTATAATTTTCAAAAATTTTTTGATTATATTGATATTTAGATTGAAAATTTTATAAAAGAAGAATTAATTTTGATTTGAAAAACATATGAAAATGTGATAATAAGTTTTTCATCTATAACTAATTAAATAAAAAAACTTGAACTTGATTTCTAAATAAGTATAAATATAATATTTGAATCATACATTTTGACAAAACAATAATAATCACAAAAATCCACTAGATTATTAGATTAAAAATGCATATCATATTTAATATTTATATTTAAGGCTTGAAAATTGGATATAACATGTTATATATAATTTTTTTTTGAAGCAAAAAAAATAAAAATTCTGAAAATACTTAACATTTATTTATGAGCATTAAAAAAATTTAATTTTCATAAAATCTGATTTTCAATATATTTCTATAAAACGATATTAGTTATTTATTATAAATTAATTCACTCAATTTCTCTCACTGTGAATCAGTTTTCATGAGCAATGGTACAAAGGTTTCAAGTTTAAAATATTAATATAGCAATACCATTCACCTATCCTTGTATCCCACAAGATTGTGATGTCTTATTCGACCAGTTTTAAAATCAGCATAATAAAAAACAAATTCTTTAACGTATACATAAAAAGTTAAAAATTACAGTCAATACATTTTGTGCATTAAATTTCAAAATATTTTTATTAACTTTTCAATAACTTTAAAACTATTTTATAAAAATTAAAACAATACATGAACAGATATTGTGTCATAATATAATAATAATTACATAATGTTATTCATGTATTTAAATCTAAAATTATTATGACAATGTATATTATAACTGTAATTAATTAAATTTTAATTTTAAGAACTACAGATTAAATTAAATGTTTTTTTTTTTTAATTGTTTTCAAATAAGACTAATGATATTAACATTATCAACTGTGTTAAAATAAATTAATGTTAATTAATCAGTTATTTATAATACGATGAAAAACATTTGAAATTATTTTTTATATACTGATTATTTATCGATGCTTCAAATAATATTCACTCTAATCTTAAGATTTATTAGGAGAAAGGAAATTCAATTAGTGCTTAGATTTTGAAGGGAGCCATAAATATCAAGATAACACAGACTCTGCAGGGATTTCACACCCAAATTCCATAAACTAACAGACATTTGACATTACTCACTACTAAAGATTCAGTTCAAATTTAGCAAAAAAAATTAAGGTAAGAAGATGAAAAAGCGTGATTTTGTAAATCAAATTATGATTTAGGATACCGCTTATAGGCATAGATTATCATATTTCATCCCAATCTCAAAATCTGAAATTCATTATTTATAATTTAGAAGTTCTATGAAAATGTTTAGTGGTGCTAATGTAAAATATGACATATACATATGTGTTATGATCAATGTACACATTTCTCAGGCAATTTGAATCTCGAGTATAAATAAATAATTACAAAGTTTATTGAAAAGGACAAAAACAGGATTGGTTAATCTTAAATATCAATAAGTTTTCATATATTATTGAACGATTGTATCAACATAGCTATATTACCTTCATCAATCTAAAATGGAAAAAAAAAAGATAAAATAAAAAAATATAAATAGTGAGTAAGAAATATAAAACTGATATTTTATACTTTGTTCTGTATTATAATAAAAGTATGATGATATAATAAAGTATGATAAATAGTAAAATATTGTATAGTTATCGTAGTAAATATTTTTAATATTTTTATTCGAGATTCAAATTGACCTGGCAAGAACAAATTTCCCCAGCAATTTGTACATTGCCCAGTGTTCTCTATTTTTAGTTACATATATATTACATTTACGCCCTTAATTACATCTATGAGGAAATTATATACTAACTTACAAATTTTGCAATATACAAAAAATATATTTATGTTACCAATTGGTATAAAATAAATTGCACATTTTTCTTTTTATGATATTATATTACAATAATAACCAAACATTTTTTATTTTTCCTTCAAAATTGTGAATGTTTTTTGGAGTCTACATGCCATTGTTTCAAATCTTTAGATTGCAAATGACGTATAGTTTTTGAAAAATATTTATACCAGAATATTCCAAAAATTGTACATAAGGCAGTTTCCAAATAAAATCCATCAATAGTAATTTCACACTTTCCATTTGATTTTTGACAAGTCTAAAAAAATGCAAAAATAAAGTTAAAACAAATGTAAATGTGTATAAATAAATAATAAAATATGAATGATTTTTGATAGTTTAGAAAAGTATTTAAATTTAATTTTTATAAAATTACATAAGAATATATTATAACATGAAGTAGTAAGTATACAATAATTTACAACAAACTATTTAAAAAAATTGATATATCAAAGTTAATAAATGGTTAATAATATCAAAATCAAATTTTTTTTTTTTAACAAAGTAGTATAGGTATCTTAACTAACATTAATGTCTGTTTCCAAGAAACATAAATTATCTGCATTGTTTGAACATTGTTTGAATGTTAATGAATCAGTCATCCATAATGCTGCAGTATTAGCCCAAGCTCCTCCCAAATTTGTTAATGTATTTAACAAAGTCATATTTGTACCACCAAATAGTGGATCACTAATACGAGCGAAAAATGCCATAACAGCCACAAACATTGAATACATTGTCAACTAAATATAACAAAAAATAAAAATATATATTAAATATAATAATTAAAATTAAAAAAAAAAAAAAATAAATGTTCATACTTGATGTAGTAAAAATAAACCCATTACTAATATATAATAAAACACTGAAACTTTTCCATCTTGGTCAATAAAATATGGTGTAAAGTAAACTATGATTGTAATTAGAATACCAATCATTAATCTAAATTACATGTTGTAATATATTAATGTTCATAAGACAATAATTCAAATACACTATACATAATTAAACATTTAATAAAATATATTATTTATTTTACCTATAAGGTATAGACTTTAAATATACATTCATTGGTTTAGGTCCAGCAGTATATTTGGTGATTAATACTGGTAAAATTATTTGTAGTGGTATTGATAGTAGTCCAATCAAAGCTATATCATCTTTAGGAATACCTTTATCGATGATTTTCAAACTAGAAACCACATCAATCGGACTGAATCCTATCTAAAACATAATTTATTTTAAAAATTATTAATACAAACAAAAGAATAAACATTTTAATTTTTTTTCATTTATGTACTGTTAAGCAATAAAAAAAAATAATTGTAGTAAATATCAAATGTAATAAAGTACTTGTTCTATATCGATGAAATTAAAATAACTATTAAATTATATAATTTATATTGTTACAATTAATTAATATCTGCTTCAAACTTCAATTTCCCTAACATTTACTGTATTCTCAATCAATATCATTAAGTTTAAAAATTTTGATTGGTAATGTTTTAACAGTCTAATAGTGTAGAGTGAAATAAAAATTAGTTACTTTAATTTTTATACATAACTTCTAAGTTTTTAAAAAAATATAGAACACAGCGGCTCATGAGGTTCACATTAGGTAGTGCACAAATAATTTGTAAGATATCTATGTAGGTGAATAAAAAAAATATTAATTTTATTATGAGTTGGGTATATATATATAATGTACTTATCAACATATAATTGACCATGAATTACTAACAGACGTGTCTTTGCATGTAGCTAACTCTTGTACAGCCACCCGGAGAATAACAAATATTAATTATGTAATAGCTTATAGACACATTTCTCAACATGAAAAGTTGCGAAAACTTCTTTTTTTTTTTTTAACAAATATTTTTGTTAATTACAGACTATATGTATAATAACTGATTATAATTTAATATAGAAATCTAAACAATTTTTATATAAATTTTTGGGTGGTTTGCATATGATCCTGTGCACCATAACACGAGCCACCACTGATAGAACATAATAATAAATAAATAAAATCAGTTTAAACTGACACTTTTTTAAAACACATCAATATAGTATTTAAAAGGCAGAGTATTATAGTAAAGGAAACATCCAATATTATTTTAGATAAATATTTTTAGTTCAAAATGTTAAACAAATAAAATAATCAGTAATCCATAGGAATTATTTGATAACTGATCATTGATATTATAGACAGTATAAATTATTTGGATATTAATCTTAGATAAATTATGTAATATTATAATACATATATATACATATAACAAAAGTATCTTTAACTGTATTATTATAACTGTATAACAGTTTTAAAACTGGGGTATTCAATGAGGTATCTTTATTTTAAGCCTATCAAAAAATAAAAACACAATCTAAACAAAGTATAGATTTTTATATTTTGATAAATTTAGAATAACTACAAGACATTGCTATAGAAAACAATGGATTTTTAATTTATATCCTACTAAAACATAAATTATTTTAAATTTTAAATTCAATAATGTAATATATCTTAATAATAAAAACTAAATTTGTGTTTAAATTATATATTTTTATTTCAATGTGGCCTACAGGATTTAGATAGCCTAATGTCCAAGAATTAAAAACTACTTATTTAGAAGATATAAACAACAATTAATTATTATGAGTATTATACATAAGATGGTATTGGTCGGAATGAAAAATTAAACTAAATAAAATTTTGTTATTTTTGTTATTTAAATTTACCTTGGCTGTAAGTAAAATTATTGATAAACTTTTAACACTTGGTAATTTCATGATATCACCAAGAAGTCTGTAGGTTTGATATAAATTTAAATCAAGGTCTTCTTGATGAGATGATTGCTTCTTTTCATGTTTAAATATTGCAACCAATGTGGTAGAAATCATAAACACATAACCCCAAAAATATAAAAATCCTTGAAAAAGTAGAAATTTACTGGTTAGTTACCAAGTATAATTTATAAATTTACTATTTATAATTTAAATAAGAAACAAAATATTATAGAGGTTTTATATATAATATTTCAAAAATTGGATTTCATCTACTAATAATTAATAAATGAGTATTTGATCTATATTTGAAAAATTACCTTGTAATGTGATTATACCCTCTGTGCTTTCAGTAAATCGTATCCATTTATTACAAAATGTAGCGGATTCTAAGGTTACAAATACAACATAGCCAAGAAAAGCGCCTATGGTTTGACCTATACTATTGCATGTTGAAGCATATCCAACATTTTCTCTGTAAGATTAATTAATTTTCAAAATAATAACATTAAGGTTACATAATAAAGAACCAACTTTCTTAACATAGTCAATGCCCATCCATCAACAGCAATATCCTGTGTTGCTGCTAAAAAGTTTAAGCAAAAGAACATTAATGTCAAAAATGTTGTGTTTGGATCATCTGTTTTAACCAGCCAATCATTGATGTTCATTCCCAAAAATAATAAAAAAAAACCTAAAACATTTTTTTTTTTTAATCATTAAAAATAATAATTTATATAATAATTATTTTTAAAAGAAACATTGATTATAGATTCTATGCATAGAGAAGAATATATGTGTTTTACAATGTTTTCTCTTTCATTTACATATTTTTTTTTTTTTAAATAGTAAATCTATACAAATAGTTTATGAAATAAATTTAAATGGATGTTATAAGTAGCTATTCCAATTACAAAAAATAAAAATAAACAATAAAAATTATATAGATAATCCTTTATGTTCTTTATCTAGTCTAATAAAATTAAAATATTTGGTCCAAAATTTGAAATTTGGTAATATAAATTGTATTTATTATAAAATAATGACATTTTATTTTGTTTAATTATTTAATAAATATTCTATTTATGATATATTATACTGACTTTTCTCTAAATATGTTTTGAGTACAAAAAACTCATAGATTTCAAATATAAATAAGTTCTACTCTTATATAGTAAGACATTATCAATTTTCATTCTTCTCATTATTTTATCAAGATATTAATAACCTTAAACCACTTTTCTGATCATTGGATATACTTATAGAAGTTTATACACATAACACTTTAAATTACATTTATTAATACTGACCAATTAAGTATTGTACAGGTACAAGCCAAGTTTTTCTTCTGCCAAATTTCACCCAAAATATTGAATCAACAATAGGTGCCCATAATAATTTTAAACTAAATGGCCATGTAGAAAAACTGAATTGGGCCTAAAATTAAAATTTAATTTTAAATTTAATCAAATATATAATTATTACAGAAAATAACCTGTTCTTTATATGTTATATGTTTCTTCTGCATTATTATTGGTATAGCCGCAGAAAGTCCAAGTGGTACACCTTGTAATGTATATAAAAATAATAAAATAGCAATGTTCAATCGATCACCTATAGTACTAGGAATAACATTTGGGATATGTGTCCCATGTTTCTTTCGTTTTGGACTTATATTGACTAATTTATCTTCTAAAGCCATAGCTTTTCTTGGTTTAACTTTCTTCATAATAAATTAATAACTGGGAATGAATGTTCTTTAATGAGCTATAACAGAAAATTTAAATGAATACAGTATACCAAAGTAATAATACTATTCAGTACTTATTAAGGTACCTAACCTTCATAAGTAAATATAATTATTCAATAAATTGATAAATACACATATTTTTCATATAATACCTACTCAAGTAGGAACACGGATAATATTTATGTAATAAGTGCGATTTAGATTAAGTTCACATTTTCTTCATATTTTTCACACAAATTGATTAGTAGCAGTTAACATTTTAATCATCAATGGACTAAATCCACGTATAACATATTTCAAACCGGTCAATACATGCACAGTGTAAATGTATCTTTACAAAAAAATTAATTTCCTGATAATACAACTGATAATATTAATATGTTTTGTTAACCGTAATCTGATAACAGTTAACATTTTTTATACGAAAACCACAGGTATTTATACTTGTATATAGTTTATACTAGTATATACTAAGTGACGAAAATGCAAAATTAAGTAATTTATTCTGCTTTAATATTTATGTATATTATTTTTGTGCAACTTTTAATTTTAAAATAATGCCTTATTTTTATGTGTTACGTGTTTTATAATTATATACATTAATCAAAGCGAAAAAAATGTCTTGTTATGTGCAACATTGTCGCGAATGTAATATTGCTATTCCTCAAGCAGAAACGGATACTGATGGGGTAACTTATTACAAAATAAAAGTAAATGTTGGAGAAATTACATGGAGTGTTCATAAACGGTATAAAGAATTTTTGGAACTGCATAAAAAATTAGTTAATGAACACACCGTTACCAAAGACATTTTACCGGGAAAGAAAATAATTGGCAATAAGGAACCAAATTTTATTGAAAGACGTCGGATAGGCCTGGAAATATATTTGCAGACTATTCTTTCATTTTTACAAAAATCAATGCCTGATGAATTATTTGATTTTCTGGAATTTGGAAAATATGATGTTATTTTAATTGTCAAGAAATTGGCTGCCGATTTTTTACAAAATGGTGATTGCTACCTTTTGAATGACAGTGGTTTTAATTTCAATGTTTTATTATTGTATGCAATAAGTGAAAGATTAAAATTACCCTGTCCAGATAGTGAAAATAATGAGTTTAATTTTAGTCATGTCTTGGACTTTTGTTCAAGACTTGAATGTTTAGCTATTAAAGGCGGAAATCATAATGTCGGAACAAGCAATATAATATACAACAAACTAAATTTTGAGCTATCATCCTTTAAAAATGTGAAAAAATTTGAATGTTATAATATTGCATCTCATATGATATATAATTTAATGACATTACGGGAAACAGTAAGAATAATAACAGTTTACAATTCAAAACTAAAATCACCTGAAGATATATTATTAAGCGATAACATTCACAAAGAATGGTCTTGTGAAATGGATCCTAATATGATTTGGACTAAATTAAAAGTGGTTGATTTTAGTTGGAATGAAATTCAAACAATGAAAAGTCTTACAGTTTTAACACCAAATGTTAAAACAATAAATTTAAATGGTAATTTGTTAAATACCATAGAAGATATGACACCTCTGACATATCTTGGTCATTTATCTTTATCAAATAATAATATTACCCAAGTCTTTGATCTACACACAAAATTAGGGAATGTGATTTATTTAAATTTATCTTCAAATAAAATTTCAGACCTCAGAGCATTTTCAAAGTTATTTTCAATAGAAGTGTTAGATTTGGGATCAAACTCTGTTGCAGAAATAGAACAGATTCAGCACTTAAGTGGATTACAGAATATGAATTATTTGGTCTTGTCTGGAAATCCTGTATCAACAATAGTTGATTATAGAATCAAGGTACTTGGGATACTGAAAAAGAGAACTTCAGACTTCTGCCTAGATAATGAGAGACCTACTCAAAAAGAATTAGATACAGTGGCAATCATGCAAGCATTAAAGGTAGCCAAAGAAGGAAAAACATTACTTGATCGATAATTGAAAAAATAGTTACTAAAAATGTTGTTGTAAAAAAATTTTATTTATTTTTTTTAATTTTTATTAATATTCTGTTACTTTATATCATGTATATTTCTTATTTATTTTGTTATTCATTGGGATGTGTATTATGTTGAAATACATGTAATCATAATTTATTTTTAATTTGTTCTTTGTTATTCTGTAGTTATTTATTTACTTATTTATTGTTTTTAAGTAATAAATATATTTATACCAACTCATCAAATATTTATATTAAATATTAAAAAAGTTTGAAAATTACCACTAATGTTTGAATATTCTAGGCTTCATAGTAATAATCGTTGTAAAACTACAATATTTTATTAGTGTTTATATTTTGAAATTAGAAATTAAAATATGGTTTATTAATTGGTTTAATCACAAATAGTTAATATTTTCATAATTTTACTTGGTTTCATTTTTTTGAACACAATTTTGTAAAATTTGGACACACATTATATAGGTAACATTTTATTTATTTACAATTGTGCTCATATAATATGATAACTAGGGCTCTGAACTTAATGCACTTAAAAAGTTTTATAAAATAATAAATATAGAAAAAGCAAAGTTATAAAAATAATTCCGATTTTTAATTTTTAGTCATAATTTAAAAAAAAAATAATAATAAATTAGCATTAAAAATGTTTTTATAGGAATAAATAAAAAAATAGCTTATACATAATAATAAATGTTTAGCCTGCAATATTATTATATTTATAAAGTACGACAGGTTTTGACAAAATAATGTATCATTTAAAAAGTCAAAAATGTCGTAAGCATAGATAAAACATTAGCTTGTGTTTTTTTGGGTACCTGATGATAACACAAAATTACAGTCATGATAAAATGCTTTCTTATCATTTTTATTTCTTATCAAAGAGGAGAACTGATCCATGCCCATGATCAGTTAGTATATAATAACTGTTTATTCCAAGGTATAATCACTGTATAATACACTTTAGTCTATGTGTTTATTATGATTACCTGTTACGGTACGTAAGTAGATAACCGTGCATGAAATATAATATTTTTATGAAGCAAGATTACACTTAAAAAGGTGGTCACACTGTAATTTTGAATCTGCCCACTTTTACGCCATGAATAACTGTTTGTTTTGAACTGCAATTTGTCCGTTCAAGATAGTAAAATAATAAATATTATGGTTTACATTTCCAACTGTCAATTGTGTTCAAATCGAACTTCTGTCTGACGGTAGAAACGTCAAAGTTTCAACGAATCTCAAGTAAGTACTTTTAATTAACATTTGTACTTATGTAGTGTTAAGTAAACTAATAATTTGTTATTTTACTTAATATAATGGTTAATAGTTTTATTAATTTGTAAAACTCATGTGCTAGTTTTTTGAGTATAAGTAATTGGAATTATGCATGTTTCATTGACATTTTTCAATAGTAATTATTACATATTTTTACCATGTTTCAACTTGATAGAAGACATTTAACTACATGAAAAAACGTCTATTAATTTATTCCTCAATGTGCAACCAGAATCTATCATCGTTGTGTAATCCAATATTCCTATGATTCTTATTACATTTTCTATTTAACAAATTATATTTTTTGTATAGATAGGCATTAGGTAGTGAGCGAGATTACTGTAGTCTCAGGAACATATATTTTGAATTAAAAACAAAAATAATAGTATTGTGTAAACCATATGAAATTTGATTAATTTGTATTTTCTGGGCTTGAGATTATTGCTTAGTGAAATTAATTTAATTAATTTCAGAATTGAAGTTGGAATTACCTTGCCCATTTAGGTCCTGAATTGAAATAATTCTAAAAAAATACTCATAATTCAATATGAATTTTATTTTATTAAATTTGATTATGCTAAAATTAAATTTACGGTTCATTGCTATCTCAAATATTAATTAGATTAATTACTTGTTGTATACCTATTTAATCTGTGTAACTTCATAAGGTAAATAAAATGTTCTTAAGCCATTTATTTATTTAAGACAACAATTCCTTTTTTTTTTTTTGTACTTTAATGTGTTATCATGTAAGCAATATCAGATGGTCACTTGGAGGGTACCAATATCGCTAGAAATTGGTTACAGTAGAATCCTGAATGGTTGATATTTGTAACTTACATTTAGGCTACACCAAATTATTTCCTTAAAATGTACTGATTCTCAAACTGTGAGGCATGACTTCCTAGGTAGGCACTAGCACTTATTGGCGAGACACAAGGTAAATATTTATGTTGTATATTACACTATCATATATTTATTTTTAGATCAACATTAGTTAACTTTTATAAAAATAATAAAAAAAACTGTTTTATTTATTTTTGGGAGGTGCAGTTACATTATTTTTGTTTTGGGGGTGTGTGAACCAAAAAAGTTTAGGAACCACTGTTATATTATATAAATATTTGGGAATGCAATGCAGTAAGCTCTGTATCAAATCCATATTCGGGTATACATCTTTTAAGTCTAAATCAATCTGTTATTATACATTAATATTTTATAAACTTAATTATTAAAATTTTAATTTGTGTAAAATGTGGAAATAAATTTATGCTAAACTATTGAATTATCTTTTTTATGATTTATTCTGAAATTGAATCTGGCAATGATGTGTTTTATTTATTAATTAAAATAAAATTTTAATGGATATAATTATATTTATTAAATGTAAAGTATGTGCAATTAATTCATGAAATTTAAGAATTATTATGATAGGCATAAACATCTAAAGATTTTTAGTTGCAATTATTACAATTTTTAACATATTTATTATAGGCTAACAAAAATAATTTTTGAACAGAAATCACTTTTTATACTTATATACATTTATTTGCATACTTTTGTTTTGAACATTAATATGTATAGGTATTAATTATTTTATTATTATTACTAAGTTTGACATTTTTCTATTTATGCATTCTGTAATAAATACTATAATTTTTTTTTTTTTATTCATATGGCAGTACCATATAATGATATAACTTCACTGAAACTTATAATCTTATCTTTATTAATTGTAACTTATGTTAAATTTTTAAAATTCATACTTGGTTATTAATAATATAATCATTTTACAGGTTTATTATTTTGAAAAGAAAAAAAAAATGGGGAGAACTATGAGAAATAAATCAATGAGTTATAAAAAAAAATCATTAGTCAATGATTTATCTATTATCGATGCAGAGAATTTTGAACCTCCACAACTGTCATCTACTCCGGCTAAAACAATTAAAAGAAATTCAAATAGAATTTTAAAAGACAATAATAGTTTGAATATTAGTGTTATAAAAAAACAAGATCAAACAATCAAAGTAGATACAGAAATTGAAAAACAACTTTACAAACCTAATTTACCAATAATTGAAGAAGATTATAATTATAATCGAGTACCTGAACTATTTTGCAGTGACCCGGAAGAAGAATCCACAACAAATGAAAATACTGGTGTTTCTGTAACAAATGATTCTGATGATAAATGGACTACTTTATCTGATACTTCTGAAAATAAAAGCTACTCTAATGTATCTGATTTATTAGCAGAAATCGATGCTGACGTAGAACCAAGATTTGATAAAGTGGCAAGACGATCATATCCTGGAAGGAAAAGAAGTAATAAAAGTTTATATGATGATGATGAAGAAGAAGAAAAAAACATAGAAGTTAAAGTAGTAAAAAAAGATAGAAAACCTAAACAAAAAAAAATAGATCCACAAGAAGAGGCTTTAATACAATCTATCAATGAACATTTCAATGATGTTGAAACATTTAGTTTAGTTGTAGAAAAAAATAATTAGATCTTGAATTCTTTTTGTAGATTTATAATTTTTATTTCAATATAAAATTTATTGTTGGAATGTTATTTGTTCTTTTCGACAAATGTAATAGTATATATTTACTATATTAATAATTTGTAATCTATAAATATGATTAATTATCTGTCCGTGTTAAAACTCTTAATTCTTAAGTTATTATAGTTTACATTTATAGTTCATATTTATTAACTGTAACTTGAAATTTAATAAACATACAAAGAAAATATAAGATATGCTTCAGCATGCAATAGTATAGACTAGACAATAGGCGCTTTTCTTGGATATGTTGTTTTTATAACCTTAGAATCCGCTACATTTTATATTAAATTGATACGATTTACTGAAAGCATAGTGGTAGTTTTTCAAATATATATAACAATAATACTTATTTTCCATGTAATTTCTGTAAAATGTTAAACTAAATTATAAAATATTGTCATTATAATTATTTTTATATTAAATAAAATTATAATTATAATTATAATTGGTTTCTTTATGTAAAAAAAAAGCCATACCAACTATATTGTGGTAACTATGTTACTGTATAATTAAAATTGTATATATTTATTGAAATACTTGATCTTATTATTAATTGATATAAATTTAAACAAAATTCTAAAGAATCTTTAATCAGTGTTATAAAGGATGGATTTATATTTGTGGCTGAATGTATGTTACAATTTATAATATAATACAGTGACGTGATAAACTTTCTACCTATGAGGCCACTAAAATTTTTAATACTTTCCACCTTGGCCAGTATGTTGGGAAGTTACTAAACATTTAAAGAACCATTGTACCTACTGATCGAGTATGGTACACCCAATTTGAATATACATACCTACCTGAATAATTAGCATTTACATTATAGTTTATGTATGTTGCATGTATATTGTTTAGTTACTATTAAGTTTGTGTTTCTATTCCTCATTAGTTGTAAAACCATTAATTTGAGCATACATGAACAGTATTTTATAAACATAATTTTTTGTAAGAATAGAATATGCATTATATTTCAAATTGAGTTTAACTTTTAGAATTTATTATTTTTAATACCTAATAATAAGATTATAACATATTATTATACTATACTAGTTGATATTAACTAGGGCTCTGATTTATATGTAAATACATATTTCTCAATAATTCTATTTTTTCGTATTTCAACAATTTTTCCATTTACTATTTATTAATAATTTAGTACAAACAGTTTCTTATGTTTCCAAAAGTATGTAAACAAAATAATACCAATTATTGAACTTAATCTAAGGTCGATGTATGCTTGACAATAAAAATGACTTTAGTTCAAAGGATTCATAGAACAAGTACAAGAACCATTGGGAATTGCATTAAAAGGAAAAATGCACAGTGTATTAAAAAAAATTCCTGGTTTAAATTGCCTAAAATTAATTAGAGATATACTTTGCGGAATCAAATGGGGTAATATTTCAGGCTGAGCTCACTCCTTTGGACATTGGAAATATGAAATATGCACCCATTACCTTTGTTGAAGTTAAGCCCTCTTTTAGTCTATACAAATCTGTGTTCCGGCCAAACAGTAGCTCATTTAACTTTGACAATTTAAGCATGTATACAGGGGGGTAATGACCTCCCCACGCAAAAAAACATCAATATTAGGTCCTTCGTGTTTATTTAAAAATTAAAATACGCATAAATTACGTTTTTAATTTGTTTTCAATTATATTTTTTCTTGCAATAAAAATGTTATACAACATATTGTATTTATATACATTTAAGATACGATTCTTAAGGACGCGCAACTGAACAGATATTCCGTACAACTATGAAACGTAGCCGCAAGAGACGCGCGATAGGTCTATAATGCACATTGTTATCAGATTATCATATTCATTAATATCATCATAGTTTGTTTAAATTTTTGGATATGTCTTTCCATACATTCTCCATTATTTAGTGATCTTTATAAGCGCTGTATTGCAAATCAAATAGACATGGATGTCTCCTCACATAATTAGCTAGCATAGAATCTTCTTCAAATGTAAAAATTACTTTTGAAGACATTTCAAAATTATATCGAATTTATAATTTATATTGTATTTATAAATCAATATTTTTAAATTAGATCAACAAGTCAACGATGATCGGTCGCGCGACTAGAGCGTTTTGACCACCTACTGAGCTGTCGTCAGCTGCGTGATTAGGGACGCGGTAGTGTTGGGAAAAGGTTTCATTTAAAAATGGGCAAAGCAGCTAACATTTAAGTCTTAATATTAAAATATAATATTGTTGGCAAGTAAATATAAATATAATAGTAAGGTTCGATATGACCTGTTCCTTAAATCTGCAGAATGTTTGAGTGTTCGACCTTCAGCGGAAAGATAACTTAGGTATCTTAGATAAGATTATTGACAATCTGTTATCCGCACCACTAATCACTACTTTAGGTTCCAATAACTTGTTATAAAATACTATACATGCCATCATTCTTTACTTTCAAGTGCTTTTTTTTTTTTTTTACATTGTATCATCGGGAACTAGGAGTGAAACTTAAGCTATTTCACCCCTGGCTCCATCGTTTATTGCATAAATAAACATTGCATTTTTTTTCCACGCTAATTGCATACTACGATAATGAATGTGCGGCCTCTAACCTCCCCTGCTTTGGCCGTTCGGCCTACATAAGTAAACTCAACTAGGTCTTTTGTTTTTCTCTTTCGTAGTCTTCCTTGGATTTCATGACATCATTGATGAAGATGGCGACAAATTCCCATTTTTCTCTGGACTCCAGCATGTTTTTTTATCATTGTTCTTGGGGCGAAACATCGTGTAGAAAGTTTTCCAGTCTCGTTCTCCTGGTGCTCCATGTGTCACACTGAAATCAGTGTGGTATGCTTTGTCTATAATGTGGTTGCAGTACTTCTTTAAGTTGGCCGAAAAAACACCCATGTCCAGTTAGCATTTGGATCATGCGGAAGTCAATTAGACCGTGCTACCTTGACTACCATGCGTTGATATCACTTATTAGACTGTGGGTCCATCGTCCTTTAGGACTGTTTTTCTACTGCTCTTGCCACGTTACCATTAAATCATGAGTTGCTCTTGTCTTTGAGGTATCTCGTTCTTCTTCGTTCCTGTGGTCGTATGCTGATTTCCTGATCTAAGTTTAATTGGCAGGATGCTCGTTACCATAAACAAGGCTTCACAAACTGTAAGGTATGCAGATGCAACGCGCAGTGCGATGTGCCTCTGAACTCTACTAAGGACGGTTCAACCCTATCTGCTCATTCTATGTGCCCTTATAGGTACACCGTATAGTAGTATGGAGTGCACTGCGTTTGACAAGAATGTTCTTTTTCTGTGTTTGGTGTTATTGATATTCGGAAGTATTTTGGAGATGTTTTTGATCATTTTATTTGCTTTTTTGAATTGAGATACCGCGTGCATTGTGAATGATAGCTTTTGGTCCAGTAATACTTTCAGATGCCTGGCTTTGTTCAAACATGGGAGAGAAACGCTTCATCTGTCTCGTTTTGCTCTATATTCACAAGAATATAACCATAAATATTGATAATATTATTTCTAAATTTGGAAAAAGAAAACAAAGAAGATTAAACTTTGTTATTTAATTTTAAAAATTAACAATTTTATATATTAATAAAGTTGTAATTATAATAAATAATTTACTTTCATTATTTTATAAGTGTGTATTATCTTTTTGTCCTTTCGAAAAAATGATCCCCCCCCTTAATTTGAGTTCTAGATCCGCGCCTGCATGTATATGGTATCTCATTGCTATCAAGATCATAATGAATAAGGTTCAATTTCATAATAATTTCTATTCAAGTATCTTAATTTTTTTATTTTCATTGCTTGTCATTTTATAAAGCATTTTTTATTTTTTTTTATATATTCCATATTTCAGTTCGTGTGTGGCGTCCGTAGCATGCACATTAGTTTTGCTACGCTCCGTCAGTTCATCAACATTACATTTTTTTTTTACTTACATTTTTTGCGCCTAAAAGGTTCAATTAGTGTTAAAATGAATATTAAAGTATCAGTTATATCTTATTCATGCAAAACTTGATCTTACATCAATATGTGAAGATTTTTTGATCTAAACGTAACGTATTATTATTCTAATTTTTATATTACACATTACGATATCGTCGTTAGTGCTATTCGTTATCGCTTCGGTCACTCCGTCGTCGTCTTATCGCGCGCGCGGTGGCGGTCTGTCGAGACTTTGACACTTACCTGCAATGCCACAATCTTCTACACTCGTAATCAAGGTCAAAGATAAAATTAATAATTCTAAATTAATTACTACAAAGACAATAACTAACGGCGACTCCAGTAATCAACGGACAATCAAGTTTAATAAAAATAAATCAACTGCTACGAACGCCTCTGATAAAATGGACACTTCAAATAATGATAAATCATCGTCGGGCGGATGGACTACATTTACGACAAATAAAACTAAAAGAATTCATTCAAATTCTTCAGATCCGAGTTCACCACAAACGCCGACAAATAAAAACAAAAAACTATTTTTTTCCACAAACATCCTCCGTCCACACCTCCGTCGAATGATAACAATACAGTTCCTACTCAAAATCATATAAATACTATGAATGTCGCACTAAAAGTTCTGCGACCAACCCCAATTTTTGTAAGAGGCTTATACAACTTTCCTGACCTGTGCACTAAGCTTATCGAAATCGTCGAAGTAGATAATTTCTATTGCAAATCATCGACAGATAGAGTGAAAATAATGACAACAAACCCAGAATCGTATAGAGCATTGGTTCACTTCCTGAGACACCAAAAAGCAGAATTCCATATTTTTCAACTTAAGGAAGACAAACCATTACGAGTTGTGATTCGAAACCTCCATCCAACTACACTACACCAACTAAGCTAATTAAATCTGAGCTCGAAATGCGCCTTTTTGAAGTTAGGCAAGTCTCAAGTGTTCTTCATAAGGCAAATAAACACCCATTACCTTTATTTTTTATGGACCTTGAACCAACTGATCAGTCCAACGACATCTACAACCTCACATCATTACTTCATACGTTAATAAAAGTGGAAGAGCCATACAAGCCCAAAACTATAAGCCTATGTTCAAACTGCCAGGATTACGGCTTTGTCATTCATTTTCGTTTGCTTAATAACTAGGCCTAAATAAATTGCCAACATCTTTAATGTTAAGATTTGACAGAAACATTGTATAAAACTTGTATAAACTATCTTACCAAATTGAATAGTCAAAATAATCTTTGAACCGTGGGTAAGATTAATCAAACTATCTAAATATTCATGACTGATTTTAAATATGATTAATTGTACTGCTAAAGAGTAATAATGTATTAGGTTTATGCAGTAGGATTCAAAGGTGTAAAAAAACTCATAAATATAGGTGTATGGAG